TGCGAAAAGCCTGCATCATTGGGGAGAAGATCCGCAAGCTGCGTGCTGATGGCGAGGATGGAGTGGATACTTACAAGTAAAGAAGCCGTCTGAGTCTCAATGTAGTTCAGATTGTAATTTGTGTGCTTATAGTGCTCTGCTTGGTGGATCCTTGGGAGCCGCTATTCTAAAGGAGGGCAATCCCCTGGCGCTGCACTACGTGATGTTTGTGCCCACCATCATGGGCCAGGGAACGATGGATCAGCAGGTTGAATGGCTGAGTAAAGCCTGGGACTGTGAAATCATTGGCACCTATGCCCAGACGGAACTGGGACACGGAACCTTCCTGCGCGGTCTGGAGACCCGAGCTGACTACGATGCCAGCACCCAGGAGTTTGTGATAAACACACCATCACTCAGTGCATACAAATGGTGGCCCGGTGGATGTGAGTTTTCCTTAACTCTTAATATCTTAAATATATATAATAAACTTTCGGACTTCCAGTGGGACACACTGCTAACCATGCGGTTGTGGTGGCACAGCTCTATACCAAGGGCGAGTTCCGTGGCCTAGCTCCTTTTATTGTCCAATTGAGGGATTCCGATACTCACCGCCCCATGCCCGGCATCGACATTGGAGATATTGGCACCAAGCTGGGCATGAAGGGTGTCAACAATGGGTATTTAGGACTGAAGAACGTACGGGTGCCTTTGAAGAACATGCTGATGAAGAACCAGCAAGTGCTGGCTGATGGCACCTATGTGGCGCCCAAGAACAGCGTGCTTACCTACGGAACCATGGTACTATTACCGATATTCACTATTCCTTCAGCGAGATTTTATCCATTTTTTCATTCAAGATGTTTGTGCGTTGTGCTCTTATCCGTGATACCGCTCAGAGCCTGGCGAAGGCATCCACTATTGCCACTAGATACTCAGCTGTTCGCCGACAGAGTCCCATTGATCCCAATCAACCGGAGCCCCAAATCATGGACCATACCACACAGCAGTTGAAGTTGTTCCCCCAGATAGCTAAGGCCATCGTTTTCAAAACGACGGGTGATGGCATCTGGAATATGTACAATGTGATTTCTGGGGAGATTGAGCAGGGCAACTTGGATCGCCTGCCCGAAATGCATGCTTTGTCCTGCTGCCTTAAGGCCATCTGTAGTGCCGATGCTGCCGCCGGCGTGGAAACCTGTCGTCTGTCCTGTGGCGGACATGGCTACATGGACTGCTCTAACTTCCCCACGATATACGGCATGACCACGGCTGTGTGCACCTATGAGGGCGAGAACACAGTGATGCTGCTGCAGACTGCTCGCTATCTGGTGAAGGTTTATGGACAAGCCTTAAACGGAGAGAAGCTGGTGCCAACCGTTTCGTACATAAGTGATGCAGTGAACCAAACGAAGTTTGCTAACTTTGACGGATCCTTGAGGTCCATTGTAAAGGCATTCCAGTTCGTTGCTGCGAAGTAAGTTTTAACTGCAGAACATAAATTCGATAGCTGGTACTTAACTAACATTTTTATATCAGCAAAACCCGAATTGCTTATGAGCAAATTGAACTGCGCCGCAAGCAAGGTCATGGTACCGAGGTAGCAGCTAATCTATGTGGCACCTTCCTAACAGCGGCTGCAGATGTAAGTCTAAATAAAAATATATTGTTCGATCAGTTCCCTATGAAATGCTATATCACTTCTAGCTTCATGGACGTGCCTTCCTGGCCCAGACTGCCTATACGGAGCTTTCGGCCATGTCCCGCGAGGTGTCCCCTGGACTAGCTGAAGTCCTTCAAGTGGTGCTGGAGCTATACCTGGTAGACGCCTGCCTCAATCGCATTGGCGACTTTTTGCGGGTAGGATTCATAGTTAACTTTAGTTTAGGATTTTTAATGTTGTATGTTTTCCCTAACAGTTCATTGATCTGACTGATCAAGATGTCACGAAACTAGAGGTTCGTCTGGAGAACTGTCTAAAGCGACTCCGGCCGAATGCCGTCAGCCTGGTGGACAGCTTTGATCTCCACGATCGCGTGCTGGATTCTGCATTGGGTGCCTATGACGGCAATGTCTACGAACACATCTTCGAGTCTACAAAAAAGAACCCGTTGAACAAGGAGCCTGTCAACGGAGCATTCCACAAGTACTTGAAGCCATTTATGAAGGCTCACCTCTAGATTCATGTCCCATCACTGAGGGGGATTTTCACAACTGTTATTATTGTAAATATACGTAAATGTTTCCATTGTTTTTATATTGTACAAATGTCTGCTTAGCAAATGGTCTGAAAGACAATTATGATGTCATGGCTTGTGCAGTTGAAACTAGGCTGTAAAATTATACACAAATAAAATATTAATCAACTACATTTAAAGGCAGCATTTAGTGTGTGTTTGGGCTTAACTAAATCGCTTTATTAAAGTTTCTTTTCTGATGGAGTTGCAAGATAGAGAGTAGCTCACTTATTGACTTCGTACAATGATAAACTGACTTACGACGCACTTGTCTTTGAGTTACGTTGTGCGTAAAGACCCCTCAGCAATCGGTTGCCAGCCAGGAATGTGAATACTGCGATAGGAATCAGCAGGCGCAGTGTCTGGAACATGTTAAGCTGCAGCCAGAACACGAAGAACAGCACTAGGATGCCACCGAAACCCAGGTGAAAGCCAATCGTGCTCGGGGCCAGTGTTAGGTTAGACACATTGATGCCCAGTTTTCCCCAGAACACGAAAAGCAAAACAAGCGGGGTTATGCACAGTCCGGTGAAGATATCAGACACGATGCGGGGCGGGCGCTTGTCGGGCACACGGAACTGATGAATAATTTCAGGCAGGGGACCAGAAGTGGTCTTAGGCTTGACTTCTGTAAACAGATATGTGGTTAAATGTGAACTTTTCATTATAAATATCTTGCAATATTACCCTTATCATCGTTGAATTTCAACTGAACTTCAGCAACCAACCACTCGAAAGAGTTGGACAGGGAGGAATCGCCCACGGTCAAGAAAATGCTGTAGGTCCCGCTCTGGTAGTTGAAGTTCTTGCCATTGTTGCCCACATCCATGTCGAATTTGTACGCCTTGCTGCTATCTTGCTCGGCCACAAAGATGATTTCCTTGTCAGTTTTTTTGTTGTATAGCCGAACGAAGGCCTGATGGACAGCCAGAGGCTTGCTGGTGGATTCATCAACCAAAATGGCCTTCAGCAAAAGCTTCTGGGTGCTGTCTGCCGAGAGAACCTCCGGCAGTTTTCCTGGATAGGTAACACTTTGCTTGCGGGTGGCAGCGCTAGCATCAGATTCGGCGATTCCCACTTCCAGAGATTGAACCTTGACGCGGCCGAGAACCTTGAACTGCAGTGTCTGGGTGTAGACACCATCGGCACTCAACTCCGCCTGGTAAGCGCCGCGAGCTGGCTTTAAGCTTGCCAGATCAGCCACATAGGTGGTCTTGTCAGAGGATTTAGAGGCCACAGGGATTTTATCAGTCAAAACAGAGCTGTCCTTCTTGCGAATAACCTTTGCATTGATTGCTTTGGGGGCAGGTGACAAAGGTTTTCCGAGCAGATCCACAACAGCTACATTCAGTGTCGGCGATTGAGCGTCCAACTGACCGTTGCCAATGAGCTGCACGCAAACAGGAGCAATTTTATCGGCTCCACTGATAGTCTTTAGTGCCTCGATCAGCACATGAGCTCCTTTGGCGGTTTGGACGGATCGGCGACTAAGGAAGTAATTCGCGAACTTAACTGCCTGGTCAGCAGTAACGGGCACGGGCTTTTCAAAGGTCTTGCTCACGCCGAAAGCACCATTGATGATCAGGGAGGTGATGCTGAGACCACCTTCGAATTGCAGGAGCTTGCCGTCTACTTCATCTGCTTGCACGATGGCATCCTCTACGCGATTAGCGATAAAAGAGGCACTGGCACCAAGAAGTGGAGCAACATTGAAAGCGTATCCAAGGCCGCTGAGTGTGTCGTCCTTCTTAAGCAGTTCTTGCAAGCGCTTTACTAGTTTTCCCTGTGTGGCTTCATTGATCTCCACGCCGAGCACTTTGTGGGTGACAACACGGTAGAAGATCTCCTGAGAGGTGCCCAGCTCCGAGTTAAGGGAACTATATACCTTGGAGAGCAGAGCCTCGTCGATCTTTGTGGAGCAGCCCAGGTTCCTGCTAGCACCAATGTAGTAGTAGTCTTTTTCGAAGCTCTGCAAGGAGTTTAAAATGCATAAATAAGTAGGGCCATTGATAAATGGGCGTATCTAGAAAAACCCACGTTCAGCTTGGATTCCGAATGCAGCGTGGCAATCTTCTTGCACAACGGCTCCTTTTGGGTGGCGTCGGTCAGTTGGATGTTGAGGCTAGAGAAGAATATCGACTGCAGGTCACTGGAGCCAAATCCGTCCACGAAAACTTTTTGCAGGCGGCTGAGATCCTTTTGCCCCAAGTGGCTGTCCACGGTGCGGGCGCTCCACGTCGTCCCACTAGCGACCAACACGCAGAAGATGACCAGACCTGGCATTGGATAAAAAATAACCATTAGGTTCCAAGTCGCCGGCAATCGCTTAACCACGAAAATCAGAGAGAGACAGAACGAGAGCTACGACTTTGCAGCCGGCGTTTCCACTGAATATAGCGTAAAATTAAAGTTATTCGGCTCAAACACCGAGCTGGAGACGCACCTAGTTTTAACATTTTCCTATATTGTGGTTGCGCTCTCACACGCCACTTATATTCTACAGGAAAATAAAATAAAATCGCTCAAAAAGCACCGCCTGTCCCTCGATATTTTATACACGTCAGCGGCCGAGACAACTATCGATATATTTCTTAATCAACAAACATCGATGGTTAGACGAAGAACAATCGATGCACGTTGTCAGAGTGACCGTTTGCATGCTGTTACTGTTATCTCAACAGTTAAAATATATGAAATATAAATAAACAGTTATTTTAACAAACTATCAGTAGACAATCTTTATATTTTCAAAGCCTGATTATAATTTTACATTTACATTTAAAATGAAAGAACAAAGCAAATCATTTATTGTGGGTACTATTCTTTTTTCAAACCATTTTAAATAAAATTTTAATGATAACTATTCTAAAGTGCAAATTTTTCAGTACACTGATCAATAGGTCTGGTTATAGAATATTTTCTTTTAAAGGTCTTGGTGAAATCTCCTTCGTGATTCCACACTGTGACGGCAGTGGTGCAGTAAAGCGGATACTTGTTCACCAGAACTTCCTCAGTCTCTTCGTTTTTGGGTGGCACGTCCCTGCAGAATTGGTCATAGTACTCCGTGCGATCCTCACCCAAATCCACTTGCGCGGAGGCCTGTCGGTTGTATTCGGCAAAGAGTTCTTGCCATAGAAACTGTTCCCTGCGATTCGCCCGAGTGGCTGGATTACCATTAGGATTAGAAAAGTACTCCAGAATACTCCGGGCTCAAACTTACGCAGCACTTTCTTAATTTTGGGTGGAGCAAAGCTGGCTTGAGATTCCGTGAGTTCCGTTGAACATGGACCCACTGGAAGTACCAAATTATTTCCACGATCAACCATTGCAGAATGAATTTTTCGATATCTTTTTCAAATTAATACTAAGGTAAATAATTTATTCGTTTGCCAGTGACAGACTGACGATTTATACTCTACCTATTTCGATTTAACAAACTAGCCGGAAACTGCTAGGCAACGGCCTGGTCCTCAGGATATTCCTGTTGATTCCCTTGCGGGGATTCGTCCTCCACTATGAGGGATACATCCTTGGGCCGGAGTACACAGTAATAAACGATTAGGGTGGCCAGAAATAGGATACCACTGTAAACGATCCACTCCCAGATGAAACCGAACCACCAGGACTCAAAGTCCTCGTTTACATACCAAATGGAGGATATGGTGATGTTCTCGACGAGGGTGAGCACCAGGTATCCACCATACCACAGTCGAATGTTCTTGAAGGACACCCGAAATTCCATTAGCACAAATATGTAGATGTAGGCGAGGAGAAGTAAGAACAGGCTGCGATTCCAACTGCCACGACAACGGGTTTCTAATGCCAGGCAGCCCAGCATTAGGGCGTAATGTACGCCCACAAGGATGAAGAATGCCTTCGGATAGAAGACACAGAAGGTGGACAACGACAACATCCTCATGGTGATGAAGGCAATCCATCCGAAGAAGGAAACCGTCCTGCCTGCGAAATCATCCTGCTGGATCCCATTCACTATTTTGGTGGGACGCGGGAAGTAAAAGTCCACCACGTCCTTGGGCGTTAGAGGTGACGGTTTGGGTGATTGGGGAATCAGAACACTGTGCTCATCAGGATCCTCGTCCTTGAGCCTACCCATCAGGAGCTTGGGTGGATGTGGGACATTCTCTTTGACGTACAGCTGGGCATTAACCAGCAGCATGTCCTTAAAGGTTTCCAGCTGGGACAGAGGTCTAGTCACCCGACGACTCTTTCTGTGCTCATTATCCGACATGGTTCGTCGCAAGTCGGGTGTTGGAGGATCATCCTCGGTTGGCTTCAGAACGGGCAACTCTGGTGGCGCAGTTTTTGGAGGCGGTGGCGGTGGTGGTGTCTCGGGTATGCTGTCCAACACCTCGATGGTGTTCAAGTCCCCCAGGTCCTCGTATCGCACTTTTAGTTTGGGCCTCGTTCCCTGTATTTTCTCTTCATCGGTAGCATTACCTTTTGGTCCGGAGTGCAGTAGTGCTCGCGTTTCCAGTTGCTCCAGGGCATCGTTGTCTACCTCATCTTCTCCCTGAATATGCAGCTCATGGGTGCCCTCGCCTGAATTGGGCAGTGACCTGCGGGCTCGAAAGTTCTCCATTATCTTGTCGGATTCCGGGAAACTGGTGATGGTGCGCTCGGACTCGCGTTTCTTCCGCTCAAGCTCACAGCATAGGCGTTCGTTCTGCTCCAGCTGACATCGATGGGTGTCCACCTGTTGCGGTGTGGCCCAAGGATAATGGCGACCCACCCTCCGCTGGCTTTCCATCCTATGATAACTGGTGGTTATGGCAGCCAGATCAATGGCCGAGAATACTAGCGATAAGGACTGAACCGCAGCTAAAAGCAAGAAGTTAATACTTAGGTAATCCTATTAGGATATATCTTACAGGTCTCGTAATTGCGGAACATATCCTGGACGAGCATGTGGTACAGCTGAAGAATGATTTGTGGAGCTGCCTGGGCATAAGCCTGAACAAACAGATACAACTCAATGTTGGAGGTTTGTGTGGCCTTGGCCAAGCACTTCATGCGCTCCACATCGTCGTCGTCGTGGAAGAGTCCCTCGATGGCCCAAAACAAGCGCGTACAGAACCTTATCGGTTAATGTTATTGAACACGGCAGTGACCCACTTAACAATCCATTGACTCACCTGAAAATCACAAAAAAAGGGAATAGGAACAGCTTAAGCAGTCCAATGCCAAGGGCACTGCATTTATTACGCTCCGAGCAGGCGCAATTCCTCTGTTCCCTTGAAGCCACCACCAGGATGAAGGTAATAATGGGCGGCAGGATTACCAGGACGAGGGTGCCAGCTCCCAGACCCGGCTCTTTCTGGCTGAAGTGCTGGTAGCTCAGGGCCAAATCCGAGGCTGTTTGGACAATGTACACCAGCAGTCCCAGACATGAGGGCACTATATAGGAGACCCAGATGCGCGTGCGGCTACGGACGGTGTAGCCAAGTATGTGAGCCGGAGGATTGGCCGCATGGACCGCCGTGACCGTCATGATTCCACTACGGATGCGCGTTCCTTTTTGAATCTGGTTTTGTAATTGCGTTCTTCACATCTGCAACTTGCGAAATCCACGGTGATACTGAACCACTATGAGTAACCGCTCTCCCAAACTATTATCAACCCAGCCACAAGATAAGATTAAAGTCACCCAAACATTTTTAGGTGAGCAGTCAACCGTTTGTTTACGTTTTTTCGCCATGAATGAGGAAGATACAATTGCAGGGTGGACCAGATAAGTGTACCTACAGATACTTTACAATAAAACACAAATTACAAGACAATTTAATTCATAAAACTTTATTCCTTTACATAAGATAGATTTAAAACAGAATACCAGTGATAGGTGTAGATGCGTTGTCCTAGGAGTCGTACCAGGTCTTCTTCATCCAGTTGGAGGGCTTGCATGGCTCGTCGAGTACCACAAAGGAACCGGGTGGTTGCGTCTGATTTCCGGCTGGCTGCTTGGAGCGACGACATCCCATGGCGTATTTAGGATTCCCCTCGATGATCGACGAGTTCTCCCGGCAGCTGGCTGCGTTCTGGAGGACAGACGCTCGTCTGCCGTAGCGGGCTGGCTTTTTGGCCGCATTGCCGCCGACATCGTCGAACCTGGTGGCCAATGGCTGCTCTGGCTCCTTGATCTGCCGCTGACGCGACGTTCTCCGCTTGTGGGGCATCTGAGCCTGTGGCTGTCTAACGTCCAACGAGGAATCGGAGCTCTTGCGCAGACTCCCCTGGACACCGGCTGGAGCACCCTCCACGTCCCTGGGGCGCTCCCGCAGTTGGTAGTTGTACTGCGCTCGTCGATATTCTGGCGTGGCGGTCACCTCTGAGGGAGGCACTGTTACCAGGACAGGTGTTTCCAGATCCTCCTCCGGCTGATGGTGAAGGGATGGGGCGTGGCATGCGCCCGAGGTGGGCAACCGGAAGCAGGAAGTGGGCTTCTGGACGACGGGTCGGGAACGCGGAAAATCCTGATAGTTATTCCTGTACTCCGGATTGAACTCGATCTTGCCGCGCAGGCGAAGGAAGGGCTCCCTGGGCTTTCCCCGCTCCGGCATTTCAGTGATCTGCGGGTCTCGGAAGCTCTCGTGGTATTCGGGAATCTCTTTGGTGAACTCCCCGCGCGGACGCAGGTGGTCGTCCGTCTTGAGGGACTTCTCTTTGGCCACGTGCTTGGGTGGGTCGATGAATTTGTCGCGGTACTCCGGCACCTCCGAACTGGGAGCATAGGCAGCCTCGGAGCCGGATACGAGCAGGTTGTCGTTCTTCTTGATGGGTGCGCTCTTCGAGTAGTTGGCATACATACGGAAGCTGTCCCTGTACTCCGGCACCGCCACGAACTCACCCTGGATTTTGATGCTGCTCATCTGGGGAATGGAGTGCGCCTTCTCGGGGAACTGCTGCACGAACTGGCGACGGTACTCGGAGGGCTCCGGCACCTGGTCCTGCTGCTCGCGGTCCACAGCCTGGGCACGCATCTGCAGATGGCATCGCTGCTGCTCCTGGGCAGCCACATCGCGGCGAAACTTGTCCGCAGCCAGCTTGCTGGTGGGTTGGTTCCTGGCCGCCAGCTCCGACTCGTCGAGGAACACCTCGCGTGGCAGTATCTTGGTGCTGGGATCCAGCATGAGGTACGAGGAGTTCTTCATGCCATCGGCGGCACCGCTGCCCTCGCCCAGCTGCAGATTCTCCGGATTGCGGACGGGAAAGGTGCGGGAGCTGTGGGTGGAAATCAGTTTACTATTGATTGGAATGCATTAAATTGCAGAGCATTTAAGTAACTTGATTTCTTCAAATGTTAAATATGTGTATTGAATTTATGCAAAAACTTTTTCTTGTATTGGGGTAATCAGCTACTCACAAGCGCAGGTCCTCGGGCGTGTACCAGTGGTATTTCTCCTGGTGCTCCGACAGCAGCTGCATGAATCCCTCCAGTCGCAGCGAGGTCGCGCGCCGCAGCAAGGATCTGGGTCTGGACTGGGTGCCACGGAAGTGCTTGCGGTACTCGGACTTCAGGGAGCCAAAGCTGGGCGCTGGCTCATCGCCGCTGTGGAGGCACACGTTGCTCCGGGTGTGCAGGTGGACGGGCTGGCGGCGGCGGAAGTACTTAAGGTCATCGACGGCTATGTACTCGTGCGGATGCTTGATGGCGAATCGGCTGAGATCGCCGGACTTCTGATTGCCTGTGAGATCCGGCTCGGAGAAGGAACGATTCCAGCCAAAGTCGGCATCAAAGCTGTGAGATAAGGCGAATCTGGTTAGGATCTGCTTCACATATGTGTGTGGAACCTCCGACGCGTCTTGTCTTTGCCAGCCAACTGAGCGGAAAAGTTACGGGTATCGCTGGTCGTCGCCACCACAACCAAATAACAGGTAGGTCCCTTCAAAACGGGGCCACCAATTCCCCCATCTGCCTTCGACCTTTTGCAATTGCAACGGAAGAGTTTCGGAAAGGAGGCGGGCCGGCTCTAAAAGGCAGCCAGTGAAGGCATTCCACCACATCCACCTCCATTTCCATGGAGCTAGAGCCCATGGCGTGCTGCGACCATGTTGCTAGGCACACTCGCCTCACAAACCTCTGTAAACAAACTAATGAATGGGTAAAAAGGGTAAAATTGCTGCAAATTAGAAAATTGTCTATTGGATTCGATGGGAGCAGCAGGTCGGCCGACCAGAGTCGATCCGATGGTATCCATTGCCAAATCCTTAGTTAAATCACTTCTAGCTGACTTAAAGCTTGTACTCTATGACAAAAAACTAAACAAATTTAATTGAAATATCGCAAATGCTTCACTAATCCTTTTGTTTTAACTCAAAATATTTCACACCCGTATTTAAGAACTATTTTTTGAAAAGGGTTTAAAAAATATACTTGAAGTTTGAACAGAATGTTTAAGAAATCAGTGGATCCTCTGTTCCAAACACGTTGCCCGGGCATGTGTGATAGCTTCCCCACTCCACCAAATGCCAATCAATAGCTCACGAAATTCCCGACTTTTGTTATTCCTGACAACGCCCGCGCCACGGCGCCTGAGGACCTTGGTAGTCCATATACGGAAATGAGTTTTTTGTTGAGGCATTGCCAAGGACTCGTCGCCCAGCAGGCAGGCCATTTAAAATGCACAAGGATTGCCAGTCGGAGGCGAACCTGCGCGCATGCAAATTGCACTTTTTATGGCTCCCGGCAGCGGGCCAAATGTGACCACAAACACCTGTTGCGCAGAACGGAATTAAAAAGTTTTTACGACGGTTAAAAGTTCTCACGTGTGGGAAAATGTGCAACCCAAATGGTTATAATTGGTGACTGCCAAAATGTTGTATTATCCGTAAACCAAAATTCATTGCATGACGCGGGGGAATGTGCGTGATTCGTTGGCTGATTTGGAAACGGAAACAGACAGGAACGTAAAAAAGAGAAATACTGCTCGTAACTAGGGCCAAAAGTCTGACCCAATTTCTGGCCAACTTTCGACCCATAGTAGCGCCCCAAGTGGAAAGTCCTGCGAACGAGCAATCTTGACAATGCCAAATGACCTTTGGCTATTTTTAAAGCGGAGCAGCAGTAAGCCAACCCATTTAAATATGCTAATCAGTGGGCCATTGCGATACCTGGACATACACATAATTACAGTTGCAGATTTATGACGCTTTAATTGCTGTTACACGACCTAGTCACGCCACAGGGCGTATACGTAATGCAATAAACAAGAATGCACCATTATGTTAACAGCAATAACAGCAAAAACAAGACAAGGTCAACCGCCACCGGGATTTCAATTAGGTCTAACATCACTCACTTTAAATCAAATGCAAAGCAAACAGGGTTTTCTGGGCTTACTATAAAAGTGCCATTGTGATGGGATGAACAAAAATAAAACTCTGAAGGAAGTAGCTCTCCTTTACTCTACAAAACACATTAATGGGAAATGGGGTCAGAATATTTCCTGGTACGGTGCAGAAAAGGAACTGTCGCTTAAACTTTGGAAAGAATACAAATGCAGTTCCCTTGGTTAGTTCCTAAAAATAGTTTTGTGTTCTTTGACTTGAGACTTATAGCTAGTGGCTTTATAGCATCCAAACATAGTTGGAAAGCACTTCTGCTGCTTACACATCGTTGGTCTTCCAGTCGTAGGCAATCGCCATGGTTGATTTCCTGCTATTGTGTGGTCTGCACTCTAATTAAACATTTATTGGGTCTCCGTGTAGAGGGAAAACATTGATGCACTCATGTTCCGGCACACCCTTGGCCAGTGGCTGACCACTAGTCCATTCCCTCCGAAGCCACCGAACCGCAAATGGCGCCATTTAAGCGCAGCTCGCCGTACCACAACTTGACCGCTCAGATCGTAAATCCCAACTGAATGGCGGCAGTGTGCGCCACCAAGAAGTTAGCCAGTTTTCGCACGCCAACTTTCCGACATTTCCACCTTGCCACCCTCTGCCGTAACTCCATTGCGCTTCTGCTTCTCCAACATTTTCCCACGGCGACTGACTTGAGGTGTCACTGGGGGGATTACAACAATGTGAGGATTTTATTTTTTGTGCTGAGCTCTAAGTGCGGCTGCATGCAATCGCGCAGTTTGTGGCCTCCTTCTCATCCACCGGCTGTGCTGGAAATCAAAAGTTGCCAGCTGCAGTTGAAATGGTGTTTTGATTCCGATTTTGGCCACCCGCTGCAGATGTCAGAGTTGAGTTCTTTAACCCAGTTCGCGGCATTTTGACGCCTCGCTAATGAAACCATGCTTATGAGGCTCCAATGAGCCCATTTGCCTGATTTACTCGCCTCTTAACGATTTCATTTCGCGACGCGGTCTCCATCATGATAATAATTTCCCTTTCGCCTGGCACGCAACTCCGGAGTACATGGCTTTCAATTGTCATGAGCAGCGGTGGCTTCCGGGCTGCGGATGCGGGTCAAGGCCAAATCAATTTGCCTGCGGAGTCGGAAATGCTGGCTGACATAGTGTTGTTGAAATCGAATTGAGTTGGATTGGCGTCTACTTTATTGCGTCTATAGCTATGTTATGCTAACTAATGTGTGCACTTTGTGTGTGGGTGGGTGAAGGAGATCAGACCTTCGAAAGGCCCTCCCAACGATCCGGAACTATGAGGAAATAACGATCCATGGCGTCGATGAAGCGCTGCTTGTAGCGCTCGGGATTGACCACGGTAGGATCCTTTCCCTTGCCTCCAAGGATGCCCGATCCTTTTAAGATGGATTCCATCCTTTTATCCAGCGTAAAGGTGCGAATGTAGTCTATCAAAAAGAACGTGCAATTATTTCAGACTCTAAATGTACTTCAATACATACCTATGATGCCTAGTACCAAGGCACCGTTTTTCTTGTCCAAGCCCACCAAAAGGGAGTAGTCCATGACGAGGTTTCTTTCCAGGAAGGACGAATCCCGCTGGATGGCATCCCTCAGGACAGTTTTGCTGTGGGACAGTACATACAAAGGCTTTGACCAGGACACTGCAACAAAGTAATTTTATATTCCAATTGTGGTTTGTATAGAAAATTAACTCACTCTGAACAAGATTCTCATCCAACAAGACTATTTCACCTTGCTGGTTGCTGGGATCCACCAAGCGATTCCGCTCTGAGCCCTTAAGATCAAACTTGTTTTCAATATTGCAGCCATAAAACAGATTCTCCATGACCATCACAGAACGCTCCACGAAAGAACTAATATTAAAAATGCATGAGTAACAGCATTAGAGTATACAATGAATGAAAACCCACTCCTTTTTCTTCACGCTGACTCTGAAGACGCCAAAGATCTTGGCCAGCAATGTGGGCTGCTGTTGCTGCTGGCACCTGTCGATGTATTCGAAGTATTTTGGAGCAAATGGCTCAAAGATGATCATATCTCTTGTGTTCATCTCTTTGAGCACAAAACGATCGTCTGGTGACGTTAAAAGTGAATAAGTATTGAAATGCATATTAATTTGTAATCTATTAGCCTACCAAGCGTCTTGCAAAACCGGGATCCCGATTTACCGCCCCTCGCCTCCCATTGAACACTTTTGCAAAGGCTTCGCGCCAAAGCTATCCTAGCGTCCTCCTCCTGATTGGAACTCTCCTCAGTACTTCGAGGCCCTCCAACGTCGCTGGGTTTGCGCACCAGCTCCATTTCGGACCCGTTGCGACTCTGTGAGATTCTCAACTCCTCCCGCATCTTGCTCTTCTCCAGCCGGCGGTACAGAGATTTATCTAGCTTGGGTGGCTTCAAGCTCTTCGACCGCATTGCATCAAACTCGCGGGCAAAATAGATCTTGCACTGGAACTGGCAGCTGTGGTCTTGGAATGCCAGCGTGATATGTGGACTCGGTGGCTGCTTTGTGCGTTCCTTGCTTTTTTCCTCCGACTCGGAAGGCGCGGTAGCTGGAGAAGGAACCGATGCATTGGGAGCGGCACTGGTGTTGCTCGAAGTACGTGAAAGGCTCGGACTGTCTTCGGCGTCGCTAATGCTTTCAGCTAGTGGAATTTTTCGCTTTAACTGCGGACTTGAATGGGCAGCAGAGGCTGGAGTTGTATTGGTGTTCGCCTCCGCCGCATCTATTGCCTTCTGATAATCCATCGAAGTTAAACTGTATGCAATCACTGAACTCAGATCGGTTTCTCTAACGTGAATGGGAATACTGCCCAATGGAAGCGTTAGATGATCCTGTGCCGGAAAAGGCGACTGCAAAGGGTTAACCTGATTACCCGATGGCAGAAGCTGGGTGAGAATCTTCCTTATGGACTTTTTATCCGAGTAAACGTTAACGGTAGAGGCCAACATCTGATCAATAGAGAAATTCTTATCCAAAACTGTTTGACTGTTGGAAGCGCCACTTTCAGTATCCTCGCTTGGACACTCCAGGGAATCATTCTCCTTTGGCAAACTAGCGGTGGTAGCTTTAGAAGAATCTGTAGACTGAGCCTGTTCCGGCCTTAGTTCCTCCGTGCAAATGGTTCCAGAGTCGATGTGCTGCGCCAGCTTGGCGGTTAGCTTCTCAATCTCCTGCAGTCGAGGACCCCACAGCTCAATACTCTCTGCTAGAGCTCTTCTTGCCATGGCCAAAGCATCGCTAGTGTCATAGGCAGTAGCCCTGTTGTCCGTGAGCAGTGTATGCACGATCTCAATCTTCTGCTTGAAGATAAACTGGTCATGCGTGAGCATGGTTTTCAGATGCTGCACCAGTGACGAGTTCTCTTCTTCGGTGGCGAGGTCAGCAATACGCTCGTGAATCCTATTATAAACCTCATGACCCTTCACCGAGAAGATTTTAATCTCCTCCTGGACTTGGGGACTTTGAAATGGTTGCGGCAGATCCAGTTGCAAGGTCAACGAAGGAAGATCCGTCTCCCAAACCTCGACCGGTGTATATTGGAATTTGGCGCCGACACCGCGGAAACTGAAGTGGTGCACATAATCACGATGCAATGAATGCTCACATGCAGTGCCGCCCTGTTCTGCGTCTGCCGAAGGAGGTCGTCTCTTGTAGGCGTGGCCATGGAAGCGCATCTCAAGGTACTTGGCGAGGGAAAGGCACTTGGCGGAATCGGCGAGCGGAATAGTGGGTGTAGTGGCATTGCATATGCTGCACCAGGACGTGAAGTATATACGCGTCGGGTCGGAACGGGTTAGGTCTTCGGTTAAGTAGACATGTACGCATCCCAGAGAGTGTACATATCGACGCACATGACCGAGCATCGGCAGATTGCACGACGGGCACATGGAGTTAAAAAGACAGCAGTATCGTTGGAGGAACTGCTCCAGCATGATGTCATATTGCCCGTAGAACTTCATGTCCAGCAGCATGGGCAGCTTGCAGAATGACGAAACGCCCTTGGGATTATAATGAAAGCTGCAGAAGAGCACCGGTAAACGTTGATGGTTCTGCGGATCCAGGGCATCCTTGTACAGCTGCTCCTCACTGACCTTCTGTGGTCGCTGGATCAGCTCGGCGTTCTTTTTCTTCGGTCGGAGCACTGAGGGATAAATTAGTGATAATGATAATGATTCATAGATCAATCGGATTGTTTGCTTACTAGGAGCTTTGCCCTTGGGTAAGCGACCGCCAAAGGAGCGGAATTCGGCTAGTTTCGACTGAATGTCGCGACTGCTAGCGGGTGCTGTGATCTTCATTTGCACAAAATCGTGGGGTGGAAGAAGCTGCAACTGGTTCTCTTTGTCTCCTGGCTCTGATTTGCTAGTTTCGCTGTCTCCCATGCTATCTGGCCTCTCCAATCCGGTGCGGGACCATTGCTTGGAAAAGTAAAGCTCGGCGGGAAACAACTTACGCAGCTTACATTTCCTGCCCTGCTCCGTTTCCAAATAAGGTAGGGGAAATGTCAGGAAGGGACTAACTGAGAGCAGGGTGGAACTCAGTGCCGTGCGGAATCTGTTGTCGTAACGCGGTTCCACAGCTAGCGCCTCAACCACGGGTGGAGCACACGGCGAAGTGGATAGAGCTTCGGCTTGTGAGGCACGCAATGGATCCGTGAAATCTGACACATTTTCGCTGATGATGGTGGTGATCTTATCCTCGGACTTGCGCTCTAAAATAATTGGTCGCTTAGCTCGAAGTTCTGCCTCTGTTTCCGTTTTGGGGCTAGTTTCTTTCGAGTCGAATATCGACGGTTTTGGACTGAGTGGCTGGGCGAACTCGTTCAGCAGGAATGACATTTCCAAGCGCCAGTTGTAGCGTGCAAAGAGCAATGCTGATGCCACCCGCTTGACCCTCGTCAGTTCGGAATTGCTCCCTCCTCTGAGAAGACAGGTGTATCCTCGGGGATTCGTCAGCTTCTCAAAGAACATCAGCGTTTTGCCATTATAGTTGCGTATGTAAAAATCATTGCAATAGCCCAGCTTGGGCATGGTTATATTCGACTCAATTGAACTGACAATGTCGCACTGCAGAGTGCGTGACAGGCGCTCCATTACCGAAAGCTTTACATCCAAAACAAGGGTAACTTCATACGATCTTAAAAGATCCTGGGCAATGCCCGCCACATTCTTGTGCACAAGCACAACATTGGGCTTGAAGCTCATAATGCGGGCACAAACGTTGCGAAGGTATTCCTTTTCCTGGAGCAGCACGGTCTCAATGGTCACAAACTTGCCTTCAATACGTTCGTACACAATGGGACACTGTAGCAGCAATATGCGCGGAAAGGGCACATGAGTGGCCATATCTTTATGGGCGACGTTTTTAGAGAAAGCAACTCCATGAACAATCTTTGAGTCTATGCGTCTCCCACCCGGCACCTTCTTAAAGTTCACATAGTTACGGATGTCCATGAGATCGTTAGTACAATGCTCTGGCTTGAAGTGATTCGCTGCTGTAGAGCAAAGCATCTGGAGCACCTTGTCCCATTCCTGGTCCAAATTATGTGCCCGCAACATCTGTGCCAGCAGCTGCTCTTCGTGCTCACAGTAGGAAGCAAGAAGCTTAGAAGTGGCTGTGGTATAGCACTGATCGTTTTCCAGTTCATTCTCTAGCTCCTTATCCTTTTCGTCTGCTGATTGATCCATAGACTTCGGAGGTTGTGGTTCCGCATGGGGAGCCGCCTCAAACTGCGGGCTTATCGTACGGGAGGTCTCCAAGCTGCTGCTTTTGGAGAACTTATAGTGAAGCGATTGATCGAAATCCATTTGGTCCGGATCGGGTACGATTGGCTCGAGGAACCCAGCGGCTAGCATAGCACTCAGTATGGCCACGGCCTGCACTTCGTTTGCTGATTTATTATTACTATTGAGAAACTCAATCAGGCGCTGGCCACAATTTTGTGCAGGCAGATCCCGCTGCATTTCCTCGTGCAGGGTAATTAAAGAATTGGACTGCTGCAGAATATTTTTGCGATCGTCGATGGAAAGGGTTGTGTAAGTTGGATGGGAACTGAATCGCTCCTCCTGATAGCCCACTGACGTCTTTCGCGGAAGAGGTGCCCTTTGCGTCTGCGGATGTTTTGCAAGCGAGGAGACACTATCTTGTACTTCCAATTTGTTACTTAAGTGTTGCTGCAGTTCCTGCATATCCTGCCCCATCTCAGAGCTTGAGGACTTAAGGAATGTGAGCACTATCTTGGAACAGTAGTTGCACACTTTGAGGTCGCCATCGCAGCGGATTATCATGCCAGGCACCACTTGGTTGCAACACTTTGAGCAGAATATTTGGCCACACAATCGGCAGTGGTGCTTTCTCCGGAACGTGGAGAACTTTTGGGAGCAATCGTAGCATTCCTTGGCCTTGGAATCAGGCATCCAGAAGCGCTGCAGTTCCGTGTCCTTGTAGTTTCGCAGATCCTGAAATGAAATTTACATAATATATTTGTATTAATTGGTCAAATTGTAACACTTTCATATGCAAATACTTAAATAATTTCATTTAATTAATAATCTAGCTTACTAAAGGAATTATTTTTAAACAACAAGATTAGTCAACAGAAATATTTGATAATGGGCTTGTAGGAATGTTCCTGTGAATCATCCAACTTTCTTGCTTTAAAACGTTCATGGTAATATAACTTTCACTTACATTGTTGTTTTTTGTTGCCACAATATTGCTTATGTGTTTGAGGACGTTAGATACGGTGCGCCCCTGATTTGCTTCGCTGGTTGGCAGCGGCAGCGTTTCGACGCGGTCACTGCTTTCGGAATCCTCTGCTGCGGTGGTGCTGGACGTGCTCGCCCCACGTGTCTCACTATTGGTCCTTATGCTGAGCGTGGTGGGTGGCTGGGGGCGAACTGAGTGCTGGCTTGAGGTATCCACATCGGCGATCTCAGCTGCGGGAGTCTGGGAGTCACTAAAGAACTGCGATTTGCCCACCACTTGCACAGGCTGCGAGGAGGAACTGCTGCTGCTCCCGCTTGATATATCGTTGACGGTATTGTAGCTCTGGTTGTACACATTCTGGATCTTGTTCACCACTCGGCCAAAGAGTGATTCCGGCTTGTCGCCGAAATTGCGGGCGAATTCGGTTAGTTTGGTGGGGGAGTGCAGATGCTGGTGGTTTGAGCTATTACTCTGGTTGTTGCTACTCATGTTGTCGAGGTGTTTGGAGTTGGGCTTGTGGCGCTAACAGGTTGATTGGCGAGGCGGTGGCACTCGCACGTGGACTCGCGGTCCTTGGTTAGATAGAGGTGATGTTGAGTTGATCGATGAGGGCTGCGTCCGGTGCCAGCGAGCCCAACGCCAGATCAGTCCACTTTTGCTCCTGGAGGTCGGACCACAGAAATAAGACAGATAAGTCGGTCAAATCCAACATTTACTCACCTGCTCGCTGACCGTCAGGTGTGAATCACCGCCGTCCGCCTCTGGATCGGGTAGCTTTTCGCGTGGCACTAGAACCTGATCGAAGGGTAGTACTTCCATGCGCCAAGCATTGTCTACAATGTCCAGCAGCAGATCATCGATCGGTGCCTGTGACAGTTAATTATACACAGGGTATTATCTCGTTCAAACCAGAGAAATAAGACAACGCCCCCGCAGCGCAATTACGTCACTCTGCGACAGTACCCAAATACTGGAGACACGGTATTGCTCGCATATTTAGATTTGTAACAATGGGCGCCTTGATAAGTACGACTAATTGCTGTGAAGCGATAATTTTGCCACACTCACAGGCGACGTAGTAGTAGTTACTATCTTGCGACCGGACATCAACTAGCTGCAAGCGGTCGTCCCACACGAGTTGCCCACTTACCTGGCTGTCCATCACTTATAGAATAATTTAATCTGAGACTAGCCAGTCTTCACCTGCTTGCCAATTGTTTGCTTAGACTCTTTTCGAGTGTTTTTGTAAACAATTGGCAAATAATTCTGTTTTGTTGAATAAAACAGCTGTTTGGAGATGGGAGATATGCGATTAATCGCGGCGATAGTATGTCTGAATGTGCCAATCGATTGCACTCGATGTTCGCACTTTTTGAATTTGTTTGCTATTTAATGCAAATAAATAGCTGAAATGACAACAAAGTATGAAAACAACAAATATGTATATAAAGATACTTTATTTTTGGCAATTAGCTTAATGGTGAGAAAATTGTTTTTTTTTGTGTGGCATTCTGCTTAAATAAGCAGCAATAATGAGCGCTTGTGTTTATTAAATTCAATTATCCATCGGTTCGGCTTGACATATATGGTTCCAATGGATTTCTCGATATTTGAAATTATTAATAATACAACATTTTGAGAATAGTTATTTTTCTTCTTTGTTCCCGGTCATGCCTGAAAAACAAGATTTTGTACTTGACTTCTACGTTGCACAGAGTATTTATTCCTTTTATATCTCATAAATTGAATACAGAGATATTTCTTTCAGATATCGAATCACATCTGGAAAAAACTAGAATTGTTATGATTAAAAGATATTAATGAAATAAAAATACTTCGTAAATTTGCAATTCTGAAAGAAGAAATTAATTTTTTTAACTTATGGCTTATAACATTCGAAAAAAAAGGTTTTTAAAATAAGAAAACTATTCCAAGAAGTATAATTTTGCGAATGTTCCAGTCCATAAAACTATTATGTATATTTTGTATATATTTTATGCTTATAAATCTGCAAAAAAAGATGACTATTTAAACTTCACAACTATTGTGTTCGATCTCGCTGACTGTTCCATTGAACAACTGACTAGATGCAGCATAGCGCTCTTTAAAAGCGCTTTTCAACGTCAGCTATGCCGACATCTTGCCAATTTACCAACGGAGGTGCTATACGATCGATCCGACATGGCTCAAAACCAAACCGATTTGGACCACAATTCACCGAAACATTCTCACTGGGCACAATTGGTCGTCTATTACTCGCTTGTTGTCAATGGCTTTTATCAATGAAACGCTTGTTGTTTTGAAAAGCACTTAACAAGTTTTGTGAGCCCACATTGTACATATGTGTATATATGCTGCTGGTGGAATAGATGACGACGGGATTGGAGCGCTGGACTCCCGGGCGATGGCAAGTGTAATCCGTCAGCGGTGGAGACTAATTGGCAACTGATTCCGAAGCCGAGCGGCGAGCTCAGCACCACACCTCGGCAATTGAAGAAGTTTCAATTAGTTGGCGTTTGACACTCACACATGGAGAAGGAGAATAAACGGGGATTGCGGTCCGTTGCCAGCTCACGCACACCGTCGCAGAGTGGGGGTGATACCTGTACCAGTACAGGCTTACCTGTGCGCGGCGACAGGTAGCCGATGGATGGGAAAAAGGGTGGAGGGCTGGAGGGCTGGAGACGTGGTGCTGTGGCCAGGCTAAGCCGCTTTTTAGCGCAACACCGTCTGCCCGGAATATTAATGAACTCCCTTTTGAGAAAAATATGAAATGAAATAAAATTTTGTGGCCAACAATAGCCGTGTCCACGTACCAGTCGTTGTCGTCTCGGAATTGGAATTTGTCGTTTCGCATCGGGGGCCCCAAAAATGCATCGGCCATGGCCACCATTCAGCGCCAAACGCGGCGCATGCGCAGCGATGGCTACTTCCGCTCGAAGCTATTGAATATATCCAGGGAGTACGAAGGTACATGGATCTTACCGGGACCATTACCCCGAAACAGCTATAGAACGTTGGTCCGTTGCTGTGAACCATCATCTATAGGCATTACATTACAGATATTTATGCGCGATTATACAAAACAGTCACGTGCCGGACTTTTCTATATACAACCGAGCACAAACACCGGCCTGGGTACTTACACCTATATGTATATGCTCCGACTGCTATTTTCATATATAAGAGGGGCTATATGCATGTGGAAAGGCGGAGAACGTTACTCACGACCGATGTCGAGCTCCAGGGAAGAGTGATGCCCCTTCTACACTCCCCGAAGCGGCATCCAATCCAGTCCGACCCGATCCTTTTGTCAGCTTTGGAAACTCATAATTTGAATATCGTTATTATTATTCATAAAAACACGCCTCACGTTTCAAATGGCTATAAAGTCGGCAAGGCATGCACGCATTAAGTAAACCCATTGACCACGATGGTCGATGCTGAAATTCCGAAACCCCAAGACATAACCACATTCCGATTGGGAGTACAAGGTATATGTACATATGTATGTATGTCTGTACCTTTCCTACAATTTCTCCGACTTCCGTACTTGGCCTATCCGCATCAGTAAAATTAGATTTTAATTAAATATTAGTATGCACAATCGAATCAATAACGGATGATGACCAATAGTTTCGTAACCGGGCACTTTGTAGGCACCTTATTTGTCGCCTGCTGTGCGCTTTCTAAATAACTATCCATAGAATCAAAGAAATCAGTTTTTCAATAAGCCATTTCGTATTTCAGGCACACGTTTCCACCATCGGGCATCTACGGGAAATGCTTTGCCGATGATCGCTTTCGAAGGTGAAAAGGAAGTTATTTTTCTACAGGAGGTAGACCTTGTAAGGTACAACAGTGCATTAAAACGATTGAGATCTTTTAATAGAGAGTTTGGGAATTTTATTAAAAAAAAAGGTAGCTTTAAATATTCTTTGAAAGAAATTTGTGCCAAGGAAACCATAACTTGACAATAGTGAAGCTTCTTTTCAACTTTTATTTAAACTTTATAGCTTGCTGTTTAACAAATGTGATCATCATAATTTTCATTAAATTTAACAAACTAGGAAATATTTAAACTAACTCTTCGGTAGTATTGCATTAGAATTACAATAATTCATATAAGCCAGAAAAATCAATTCAAATTTGATAGCTTAATCGATAACGTACGCGATTTTTAACTACCGTCGCTATTGTTTTGGCGATGGATCGCCCTCGGCTTTTTCCATCTCTATTGTGCCGGAGATCGCTTTGTTTTTGCCACTTCGCATTTAAATTTAGCCGGAATGAGCTTTCGTTCGTATGCGCAAGGAAAACCACACCCCAAGGTGGGTATGGGATCCTACAAACTAAAATTCCGATATTACACTTCTCACTTTTCAGACGGACTATCAGTCCATCAGGCCATCTGAATTGGAGCAGCTCTTCGAAAAGAAGTTCCACTATCAGAAGCCCAGAGGCAACACATCCTGGCAGTTGCCGCCACCGGATCAGGCTCTCTTCAGTGAGTTCTACCAGTTCGAGGCGCTGCAGGCACTGCGGGAGCAGCTGAATGCGGTTAAAAGCAAACTGAACGACTACGGAGTGCAGGAATGGAGTGCTCATACCAACAGGCGGGACCCTTCCGGCGAGGTGTCCTGGCGCCTGAAGAACGACACCAAAGCAGAGTTTGTAACTGTGGCCTGGTGCAAGCTGTTCGAGTGCCTGCATCGTTATCCACTGGTCACGAAGCCAGCGGTCAACACTCTGCATCTTTGCGAGGCACCCGGTGCCTTCATTGCATCTCTAAACCACTACCTTCATAGCAAATATCATAAGGATGAGGTGAGTTATCCAAAAATCATGGAGAGAAACGGGAACTGAGCTCTTCTTCCAGATTAAATGGCGCTGGCGCTCAACCACTTTGAATCCCTATTATGAAGGCAATGCTTTAAACCAGATGATCAGCGATGACAGGTTCATCTTCCACACGCTGGACAACTGGCTCTTCCACAAAGATCTCACTGGTAATCTACTGGATGTGGCCAATATTGACCACCTGGTGGAACGTTGTGAGGCAGTTTTTCAGGGTCAGGTGGATCTTGTCACTGCCGATGGTTCCATCGATTGTGCCGCACAGCCTGATTGCCAGGAAGAGATAGTGGTTCGCCTATTTTTTGCTGAAGTACTCAGTGCCTTGAGGATTCTCTCAGGTGGGGGTAGCTTCCTGCTGAAGATGTTTACCCTCTTCGAGGCCTGCAGTGTATCTCTACTTTACACACTTAACTGCATCTTTGAGGAGGTACACATCTTTAAGCCGGCTACTTCCAAGCGGGGAAATTCGGAAGTGTATGTAATCTGCCTGAACTATCACAAGGAACATCCCGGCTTGCCTCGTTTGCTAGATGAGATAAAAGGCAAGCTTGCTCAGTCGAATGACACACTGGTAATGCCGTTGTTTGCCAGGTCTCAAATCCCCCAGGACTTTCTCATGCAGCACGAGATTGCCTGCCGTCTCTACATGAAGCTTCAAACGGATGCCATCGAGGGAAGTATCTATGCCTATGAGTCCAACGATCGTCATTATCTGAGACACCTTCATCACCTGCGCGGCCTCGTCTCCAACACCTACTACAGCCTCTACAATGTGAAGCCCTTGGAGGATAGCCTCTGCATCGTGGACAAGGAGGCCACTAGTAAGGCTCTGGGATTCACAGTGCCCGTCTATGGTGGATCCTACACAGAAAGGGAGACCTTGAAATACGGTGACCTCCTCAAGCAGATTTACTGCTTGCGCCGCGAATTTAACCAACTCGAGAAGTGTATTAACAGTAGAACACCGTACTCATACGTAAAGAACAGAACAGCACCTTTGAGTCTACACGTTTCACGAGGAGCACCTGTTCAGAGTCTTCAAAGCAGCATGTTTGCCTCCGAACCAATTCTCCTACTGCGCCTTCGCATCCTAGACACATTTGATCTCGACCCTGTTTGGCAGTCAGCGCCAAAGTGCCAGTTGGAAAGCAAGACACTGAGCTACCTGCCACCAACAGAAAGCGAGGGATTCCACACCGCCCAGCAACGCTTTTTCATAGATCTCCTGGAAGCAGTAAAGGAACTGAAGCCCCACAGCATCGTCTTCCACAAGTTCCTGTTCCTCACCCACTATGCAGCGTCGCTGCTCCTCTTTCTTATAGAAACTGTTTATCAGGACTGTAGTTTCAATAGCAATCAATCGCAAGATCTTACGTTAAGTAAGCTGAAAGAAACGGATAACAGTGCATTGAAGCAGGTACTGAAACTTCTTAAGGATGAGCGGGCGGGTGCCATTCACAGCCTGCTGGAGATTAAGGAACTGCAAAAGAACCAATTCAGCAACACCCTCATACAGCACAACAACAACGTGCTGCTGACCTGCTTCCGTGGCATGCTGGGCGAGGAATCCTTTCCCATGCCCGTGGCTCCGACATCCAACTCGGACGTCTCTTCGGTACAAGAGTCACCAGCTGTATTTTAACATAACGAACATGTATTTTTCATTTGCATAAAATTACAGTGCTACTTTTACAAAACTAGGTACTCTGCCGGGGAAAGCTGCTTACATGTTTTCTGAGGATAGCTTTTGGGGCTCAAAAATGAAAATTAAATAACTAACTGAAACATCACAAGACTAAGGGGTGAGGGTACACATGGGTTGTGAACTGGTCCACCTCCTCCTGCTCTTCCTTCGCCTATCCGCTAGTCGGCCGGACGTTTTTCGCTGTGCTTCTTGGTGTAGTCCTCGGCGTTTTTCACGAACTTTTTGCGGTCCTTGAGAAACTCCTCGGCCAACTCCGCCCGCAGCGGATGCTCCGGTTCAGGGTCGTTGATTAAGTCTACCAGTGCCTGGACGACCTGGTCAGTGCGTGTGGCCGGTTTCCAGTTCTCCGTGCTGATGATAGGCAGGCACACCTGGCCCTTCTCGTCGATGTTCGGATGGTAGATGCGTGTCTTGAAGTTGATCTTGGGCGGCTTGAAGGGATACTCCGCCGGAAAGTTGATCTCGATGCGGAAGGCGCCCTTGTTGTACGGCGGATTGTCCGGCACAATCAATCCCGTCCAGCGCAGCAGGTTGTCATCGTCCGCCTTGATGTCCCGGAAGGCCTTCAGTGTGTTTTCCTGCAAATCGACCAATTCTTTTCGCAGGCGTCGCGGCGCAGTCATCGTGACGTCTGTGTGTGGGTTTTCCTATGCTGGTGTGTGTGTGGGGATCGAAAGGAGGGGGGCAACCTTGCCAATGTGTGCGTGTGCACTTTTGTTTGCCCTTGTGTGAGCTGCAAATCGATGGTTTCGCCTTCCGGATGAGTAATACCGTCGTTCGGCCGCCGGCGTTTCGTTGTAGGTGAGTTCCTAGTGCTCCAGTTGCGGCGTGTCACCTTTGATTTTCGCACTGTCCCAAAAAAAATCAGCACGTAAGTCTGCGAATTTCTCTGAAAAATGGTTCGTTCAAGAATCTTCCAATTGGCGTTAGCGTATTTTGCTGACTTGCTCGCAATGGCGTTGCAATTGGTTTACATTAGCCAACATGGTATTTTCTTTTATTAAACCTTTGTCTTGATTGCTCAGCATCAGCAATGCTATATTAAATACAAAAAAAAAATTTATCGCTATAAGAAAATAAATAATTCTCTTTTAAAAGAGAAACAAATGAAAAAGAAATGTTGGCTGTTTCCAGCTCTTTTTGTAATCGATTACCAGCAGCAGTGGCGCCAAGCCAATCGATAACCTACCATTTCAGGCAATTTCCATCGCTATCGCTGACTGCAACACGTGCGCCGCGTTAGTTTTGTTTTTACCTCAAAATGACCAAAAAACTAGCTCTGAAACGCAAGGGAAAGGAGTCGGAGCCCATAAATAAAGTGGTGGCCAGTTCTGAGGCGTCCGAAAATGAGGAGGAAGAGGAGGTAAGTACCATTGACGAGGAAATAATAAGTTGTTCACAACGACCTGCATGTGTTTCTGCTCTTTAAGGACCTGCTGCAAGCTGTAAAAGATCCCGGCGAAGATTCAACAGATGATGAGGGAATAGACCAGGAGTACCACTCGGATTCCAGCGAGGAACTGCAGTTCGAGAGCGACGAGGAGGGAAACTACTTGGGCAGAAAGCAATCCTCATCAGCTGAGGAAGATGAAGAAAGTAGCGATGAAGACGATGATGGTGAGGAGGAAAGCAGTGATGAAGAGGAAGTGGAAGATGAGGAAAAGGATTCCAAGTTAAAGCAATCAGACGATAAGCCCAGCAGCAGCGGGGCCGCATCTAAGAAAGCCCCCACAACGGAGCTGTCGAAAAGGGATACCTCCAAGCCTGAGTATCAGGATTCAGATACCTCTGACGAGGAGGACATAAGAAATACGGTGGGCAATATACCCATGCACTGGTACGACGAATACAAACACATCGGCTACGACTGGGATGCCAAGAAGATCATTAAACCACCACAAGGTGATCAAATAGATGAGTTCCTGCGCAAGATCGAGGACCCGGACTTTTGGCGTACCGTCAAGGATCCACTTACCGGTCAAGATGTGCGCCTAACGGACGAGGACATTGCTCTGATCAAGCGCATCGTATCGGGTCGCATCCCCAACAAGGATCACGAAGAGTACGAGCCCTGGATCGAATGGTTCACCTCGGAGGTTGAAAAAATGCCCATCAAGAACGTACCCGACCACAAGCGATCTTTCCTGCCCTCAGTTTCCGAAAAGAAGCGCGTCTCTCGCATGGTGCACGCTCTCAAAATGGGCTGGATGAAGACCACTGAGGAAGTGGAACGCGAGAAGCAAGCCAAGCGTGGTCCCAAGTTCTACATGCTTTGGGAAACGGACACCAGTCGGGAGCACATGCGCCGCATCCACGACCCAGTCTCTGCGCCCAAACGCGACCTTCCCGGTCATGCCGAGTCCTACAATCCGCCGCCAGAGTACCTTTTCGATGCCAAGGAGACCAAGGAGTGGCTTAAACTAAAGGACGAGCCACACAAACGCAAGCTGCACTTCATGCCACAGAAGTTCAAGTCGCTGAGGGAGGTGCCAGCCTACTCGAGATACCTTCGAGAGCGCTTCCTTCGTTGCCTGGATCTTTACCTGTGTCCCCGTGCAAAGCGTGTCAAGCTGAACATCGATGCGGAGTATCTTATCCCCAAGTTGCCCTCGCCGCGTGACCTGCAGCCCTTCCCCACGGTGGAAAGTATGGTTTACCGCGGCCACACCGATCTGGTGCGGTCTGTTAGTGTTGAGCCCAAGGGAGAGTACCTCGTCTCTGGTTCGGATGATAAAACCGTGAAGAGTGAGTACAATACTTAACTAGCAATTCTTTTACATCCCCTTATTAATCCAACTCACTTCACAGTTTGGGAAATTGCAACGGGTCGTTGCATTCGGACAATCGAGACCGACGAAGTGGTGCGCTGCGTGGCTTGGTGTCCTAATCCCAAGTTGTCTATTATTGCGGTGGCCACCGGCAATCGCCTGCTGCTCGTCAATCCTAAAGTGGGCGACAAGGTTCTGGTAAAGAAGACCGACGATCTTTTGGCTGAGGCACCCAGCCAGGATGTCATTGAAAGTGAACGCATAAAGACGGCGGTGCAGTGGTCCAATGCGGAAGCCGATGAACAGGAGAAGGGCGTCCGCGTAGTTATTACCCACTTTAAACCCATTCGACAGGTCACCTGGCACGGGCGTGGTGACTACTTGGCCACAGTGATGCCTGAAGGTGCTAACCGCTCGGCTTTAATTCACCAGTTGTCCAAGCGGCGCTCGCAGATTCCATTCTCTAAGAGCAAGGGCCTCATCCAATTCGTGCTCTTCCATCCGGTGAAGCCATGCTTCTTTGTGGCGGTAAGTGTGATAATTAGTTTGCTTTTTCGAATTCATATATTTAGTGTGATTGACTTGGTTTTGTTTTTGCAGACGCAACACAACATTCGCATTTATGATCTGGTTAAACAAGAACTTGTCAAGAAGCTGCTGACCAACTCCAAATGGATATCGGGCATGTCTATTCATCCAAAGGGCGACAATCTGCTGGTGTCCACCTATGACAAAAAGATGCTCTGGTTTGATTTGGACCTGTCGACAAAGCCGTATCAAACCATGCGACTCCATCGCAACGCAGTTCGCAGTGTAGCTTTCCATCTCCGATATCCGCTCTTTGCTTCTGGCAGCGATGACCAGGCTGTGATCGTCTCCCACGGCATGGTCTATAAGTAAGTGGCTTTAAATCACAATGGGCCAGGATAAATACTAATTTCTGCAACCATTTTTAGTGACCTGCTGCAGAACCCCTTGATCGTGCCACTCAAAAAGCTGCAAACACACGAGAAGCGTGATGAGTTTGGCGTGTTGGATGTCAACTGGCATCCGGTACAGCCATGGGTCTTTTCCACGGGCGCCGACAGTACCATCCGACTATACACGTAATCTAGGTGTACAAACCCTAAGAAAGTTTGTTTTAGTTTCCAAAAGTCTTGTGAAATTTAAATAGTAAATACAAAATATATTATTTTTATTAAAAGGATCCAATACTAGATATAACCATATTTTGAACATTTTGAGAACACCGCGTTCCGAAATCAACGGGATCCCAAAATCAGATTGCAACCCTGTCGAAAGTATTTAAGTTCTAGCCCCAAAGCTTTGGGGTAAATTCCAGTGGGGCGAAGAGTCTCGAGCTTTGTTCTCTTTGTCCGACTCGCGCACATGTCTTTCCGTCCACTCTCTCTCGTTCTCTCCGCCTGTCAGTCCCTCTCCTGTGTGTACCAGGAATTCTAACTGTATAGCAATTCCACAAAGCTTTTCGCTCAGTCCACCTTTGGAGCCCCCTCCCCCGGCTGCCCACATTCCACTCGCCGTTATCTTGCGCTCCTCGGGAGGAGCGCGCGCATTGGAAAATCAAAATCAAGAGCTGGCGACACGGCACTGCTTGGAAATCAGTCGCCTGCCTTTGCCCGAGCGGAGAGAATCTCGAATCGCTCGAATCGACCTGTCGAGGATTTTGGCTTCAGCTTCTGGGTGCTGCTGGTGCTGAGCAGCCAAAATCGCAGAGCGCAGAAATCGAATGGGAATTGGCTGCCATAGCTGCCATTGCGGGGGCAACGAGAACGAAGGAATATAATAAAATATGGCCGAGGGCGAGATGTGAAAATTTGAAAATGTGAAAATGCCAGTCCAGGCCATCCAGTGACCACGAAAATTGCAGTTTCCCCCAATTCGTATTTATACACACAAACACACACACACACTCGTCAACGAAAAAAATCGTAAAGAAATTCAGAAAACCAACCGAAAAAAATCCAAGCACAAGCAAAACAATTTCGGGGCGAAAAAGAAAAATATATACAAATATACACATTTCGATTCCGATTCTAGTGGCAAAAATTCGTATGTACTCGTCGCTGCTCCTCAAAAACATACATACATACAAACGCGACCCCCTTTTCCCGCCCACCCAATCGCCCAAAAATCCTCAAAGAAAATATAAACGTGTGTGTGGTGTTCGAGTGAAAATCTGAACGGAAGCGCCTGTTAAACAACAAGTAAATAATACAAAATATAATATACATAAATAGCCAGGCTAAAGGCAATAGTCAACAAAGAAAGCCAAGCAGCTGATTTGTGATAAGTGCAACGACCAAAAATCGCAGGCGCTACGAGTTACAAACAAGTGCAATTAGCTGTCGATGCCTACATGTTGCAGCTGTTGCAGCAACATCAGCACAAGTGGAGAAAATCACGCATACGCCCCATCCGCCCAACGGGCCAAACAATGCGCTCCACTTAGCCAGGTTGCGTGTCAATGTGGTGGTACTCCAGCCCACCCCCCTCGCACACACGCACACACGCACGCACACATCGGCACATACATATGTACATATACAATGGAGGTGTAATGACTAGCACAAGAAATAAATAAAGGCCAGAACAACAACTACGGTGGCAGCTCCAGCTGCTCATAAATTTCGTAACGCTTGTGAAATGTGCCCCTTGGTGCACGGGGCCATTGAATCGCTAGATTTTCGCCCGTAAATCCGGAGCGGAATATGTAAATGCCACCCGCGCACCATCAACTCTCTAAAAAAAACGCTAGACCCCTACGCTAGGAAAAACAGAAACCAAGCCAACGCTAAGGTTGAAATCAGGACTCTACGATAAGGATAACAAAACTCAAAAAGGTTATCGGAAAAATCTTGAGGAATTTCTGGAATTTTTTCGGCTTGTAAATCGCCCAAGGAGAAGCTAAGGAGAAGAAAAAAACATAAAACAAAACGAAAACTAAAACTAAAATCAAGAGCAGCAGCTGTGGAGAGAGCGAGAAAGAGAGCACAGAGCGCCGCAGAGAGAGTGGGAACTTTCGATAAAAAATTATTAGCAAAAACATAAATACGTAACGGCCTACCTGCCACCCCCCACCCCCCTCAAAGGAGACCGATAAAGAGAAGCCGAGGCAAAGAAAAGAGCACCACAGCGAGCGGGTGAGTGGGTAGGTCAGTGGCTGTGGGCGGTCCGCCAGCTGGGGCAGCACCACCTCACCACCCAACACCCATCACCACCTCCATCTCCACCTCCATCTCCATCTCCTTCAGCGCCGCCAGCGTCAACCTCAACTTTCAAAGGGCAGGTAAGTGCACACGGAAAAACGAAAACGAGGCGAATCGGTAGCAGTTTGGCATTTAGACCTGTGTACTCCTCCAGGTTTCCCTTTCCCAAAAACTGAAGCTCTCGTTTCAGAAAAATCAGAATAATTAAGTAATATATTTAAACTGTGAAAATAATTAAATAGTAAGTAAGTAAGTTTCCCTTAAATGGCTGAGATTCATCCAAATGGATGAGATTCAGACACTCACCAGTAAACGCAGTTCAGGGCATCTTGGTTAACCATTTTTGTTGGATGACTAATGGTGCTATTTCTTGCAGTGTGACTGTGATTCGCCCGACTGTCAGCACACTTCCCCCCACCCGCCACCGTGTTCATTAACGTTTCAATTTGTTCTTTTATTGCAGGTGGCGGCATGTCCTGCACCGTTTCGGAGCTGCCCAGTGGCTGTCGATTGCGCGGCATGACTGCATCCTCACAGCAAAGTGCCGCCAACAATAGTGGCAACAATGGGAACGGCAACGGGAACGGAGGCGGCGGGGGCGGGGGCGTCGGCGGAGGTGGCGGCAGCCTGGGCGGAGTATCGCCCACCGTAGGCGGCAGCGTGGGAATCCTCGGCTCCACGTCCAACGTGCTGCAGGAGTCGAATGCGACCACGTTGCAGCGTCCGCAGTCGCAGAAGCCGTGCTGCTTCTGCTGGTGCTGCTGCTGCTCCTGCTCCTGGTGAGTATGGCCCACCACCGAGTGGCCTATTTGTGCACCGCTCGAATCCTCTGACACGAAATCAATTTCTTTCTCGTTACCGCGCTGCCTTGACTCAACGTTCGGCCATTATAACAACTACCTATGCCAACCCATCCAATACCAACCACATCGTGACAACAGGGCCAAATGGTAAGCACCTCCTTGAACGCTCATGCATTCGTACACCGAGAGAAATAATCAAGTGGTTTTGTTGGGCTGTATAGTTTAGGATTTACATTGTGGTGGCATTCATTTATTTTACCTAGTTAGCTTATTCAAAGATTTAATATTCTGGTCATATTCATAATCATATCATGTGGTAGTAAATCTATAAAAGCAGCTGTACAGAGGTAAGTGTTTGTGCCAGACATTTACCATAAACTATAGTGTTTGGAGTAATCTACTTTGTTTAAATATTCGTGATATATTCCGGTTTTCTTAAAAGCAAAGCAATTTTATGATTTTTTAAATCCATTTCATTCTGTTTTCACTTTTTTCGAGAAAGAGACAAACAATTATTAGTCCTTGTTTCTCGCAGTGCAGTCATGGATATGGCCACGGTTACAGCTATGGTTATTGCTTTGGCTTTAACTATTGCTTGGTTTGGCTTTGGCTTTGGCTTCGGCTATGGCTGTGCCCACTGACATGGATATGGATATGGACATGGATAGGGAAGTTGAAATGGAAATGGACGCGGACAAGGTGGCCTTCTCCTGGCAGCTGGCAACGCTGCTGAACTGTCGAAAGCTCTTTTCCTCTCCGCCTTTCGAACTTTCTCCGCTTTCTCTCTTACGTTACACTCTTTAGCGCGGGCGGCGCGCTCTCTGCCTCTCCCGCATTCATTCACAATTCCGGGAGCAAGGCGACGGGCAGCGAAAAGCTCTCTGGAGGGCACTTTTCAAATCAAATATAAATAAGTATGTGGCGGGCTCCTCCGCGGACTCCTCCAAGTGTTGCATGTTTTCGTGAATGAAATCGAAAGTCTTTTTGCGACCCGCCGCCAACGCGCAACCCCCTCCGCACCTTTGTGTGCCCAACTGGGGGTATGTCGCCCCGAAAACCCAGTTCAGAGCACCCGATGTCGCCCCAAAACCCCTGGCCACATATAATTTGATTCATACTCGTATATAGGGGTATATGTACGCCTGTGTGACTTTGATTAGGTATTGGGCCAGCGAGTCGCTCTGATAACTGTCGTCCAGATAAGAGAGCTTTATGTCAAGTTCGAGTACTCCGGTGCTCTGTCTCCGGGCTTCGAAACCCAAAACCGATATGCCATTTGCCTATCTACAGTGTTTATTCGAGGCATTGTATCTTTATATCGCGTTCAGATATTTCGGATATTTAGCGAGGGGTTACCTTTGAACTCTCTAGCTTTAATTATAGTATCGCATAATTCAAGTTTGTATGCTCAGTGCAAGTGTTTTATGAAATGCTAATCAGTAGCTCGCGCTATCTAAAAGTTTCTGTAATCGAGCGGCTACTGTACTTGCATATTTATGCTATTTTGTGCCAGTTAAAAATGAGTCAGGCTGAGCGGCAATTCAGCGATGAATAAAATTGTAGTATACTTTAAAGGGTGATTGATGAGTTGTAAAATCAAAATAATCGGCTTTTAACAAGCGTCCCCCTTTTTTTGTTTGTTTTTCATTCCTACAGTCTGGCCATCAAGAATGCCGATGAAAATGCCCCCACGAAGCGAGATCTGGTGAATGCCGAATTCTTGGATGGCGAGCAGTGAGTTTGAGCACCAATAATCTTAGCAAACATAAACGATGATAAAACCCATTTTATTTGTACATCACAGACCCACACTGGAGGAAATCCGCAGCTGGGGCAAAAGCTTCGACAAGCTGATGAAGAGCACAGGTAAGTCATGGAAAAATAACACCTCGATCCATACTAATTGCTTGGCGAATATTCTCCCAGCTGGTCGAAAGGTGTTCCAGAACTTCCTGCGCAGCGAATTCAGTGAGGAGAACATCCTGTTCTGGCTGGCCTGCGAGGACCTCAAGAAGGAGAACAGCGCAGAGTTGGTGGAGGAGAAGGCGCGCCTCATCTACGAGGACTACATCTCGATCCTGTCGCCCAGGGAGGTGTCGCTGGACTCCAGGGTCCGCGAGATCGTCAACCGGAACATGATCGAGCCCACGACGCACACCTTCGACGAAGCTCAAATCCAGATCTACACACTGATGCACAGAGACTCATATCCGAGGTGCGTACCAATGGGGCAAGATACGTATAAGCTAAAGTGCTTAGAGATATATACATACATACATATCTACTAGAGACATTACTTAAACGGGGTTTCTTTTGTTACAGATTCCTAAACTCTCAAAAGTTCAAGACACTAGCTCAACTGCAAGACAACTCGAATGCCGGTTCCAAGGCGGATAGTCCCACTTAGAGAGGATAGCTTGATCGCCGATCCCGGATCGGATTTGAATCGAATTCAGTTGCGCTGGTTTGACTTTGATTTTCCGCCCCAATCGCTGCTGCAATCGACTAAGCAATATGTATCCATTAGTAGAACCATTTAACCATTTTGCGAGCAGCCCCGAAATCAGGATCCTGGTAGGGGCAGGTGAATCAGACGTCGTGCGTTCAATATGAATCGGATTCCTTTTTCTTCCTACGTTCTAGTCGTTAGCTAACCAAAGAGTTAGGCACTACAAAAATTGTTTTCACTAAGAAGCAGGTTCGACCACAGAAAGCATTTTCCAAACACCCAAAAAAACCAAAACAAAACAACAAAAAAATACCCAAAAAGCTAATACGAAACGAGCGACACAAATAGCATCCATTGTAATACTAGTGATCTAAGAGACGTATTAATCAAATTGAAACCAAGATTACGGATCCCGCTACTGATAAGTATGTTTAAACGTAATCATAAACCGCAACGTAACAGAAATACTTTTTCCAAAAAACATTACAAAAAAAGAAAGAAAACCAAAAAATCTTTTTAAACGTATTACATACATAACTTTAAAAACTTATACATATATACACAGCAGCATATATATATATAAACATATATATAAATACGGATATATAGAGACATTTAACATGACTAGTTTTGAAATCGTTTTAGGTCATACGAGTAATGACATCGAAGCATTTTGTAAATACAACAGCAGACGGCAACACTTTCTACTTTCTTATGAAAACCCATTGAGGATCAAGTCCTTTCTTAAGCAAATCTTATAAAGCCTCATCTTGAGCTGTACTTCGAGCCAGACCACAACAGACCATACACCCTATAGAGTCTTATCCAAATGCAAACCAGAACGGAACAAGCGCATAACTAACGTGTACAATATTATTTCGATGTCGAGCTGATTTCCAAGTCGAAAGAAGAACGTTTCGCAATATCACTGCCAACACAAAAGAAAAAATCAGAACTTCGCAACAAATATATCCTTATGCAATTGATTTTCGTTAGAGAAGCGGAAGTTCCAAGAGTTTCCTTGCATTGCTACCTTTCTGCATTAAAAACATATATTAAAAAACAGTATTATAAAAACCAAAAAAAGGGAAACACAAAAGTATGGTTACATTTAAATTTTAGCAAACAAGTTGTCGAACAAGTTGAAAACTAAAAACAAATATAAAAAAAATATGAAAAGGAAAAAAACAAGTTTATAAGGAAAAACACAGAACAAACAGGAGGACTTTCGGTTCGAGCCCTGGCAAAAAGTTAACAATGTACTTTCGATCTTAAGTTGGTTTCCTTTAACCTTAGGTTGTTTGTGTTCGAGGCACAATATTTTACAAGTACAATATTAATGTGTGTACCTTCGTTGCGGGGAGCAGGGAAAGTATTTTCGTAGCTAGTTGGTGTGCCTAGTTTTAATGCATCTATCGATACAAAACCTCACCCATCACACTCCGACATGAACTACAACAGCAACACAAGTATATTAACTTTACTAGCAATTAAGCATCTTCCACTTCCCCAAGAGTATATGTTTTCAATATTGTTCACCGCGTCAATCAAGCCATATAATTACTTTAAAGCTCATTTGATCAGGGTAAACATTCTTTTCTTATAACCGAATCTCGAGGTGCTCGATTTTTGGTCTATATATAGATATTTTTGGAATACCCCCGCATAAGTTCCTATATTTTTATAACAGCTTAGACACGATTGAAGGTCCGATTTCCGCCTAGTCCCTAAAAACTTGACTTTTACGCGTCACTCAGGCTGCTACTTGGAATTGAGAATTTGACAACCGCTTTTGCATTATAGAGCTCGATGAGATCGGTAGATCGGAGGATCGGCGGATCGGCGGATCGGCGGATCGATACCGAATCGGGACCGAGAACCAACGTCAGTTTCCATGGTTTGTTACATTAATTTTAGGCAATCAGGTTAGACACAATGTCCTGGCCAAAGGGACGCGCGGAGGGATGGAATGTTTGTTTGAGAATGTTTCTCTTCGGTTTCTTACTTTGCATAACGGACAGATATAAGACTTTTTGAACAAAAAAACAAAATATATAAGTACATTTAATGCGATTGTTGTTTGTTTTTAGTTTTTAGTTTTATACACCGCCACACTCGCACACACAAAACACACACGCCCACACACACCGATACATGCATATATATATACTACTTAGCGGTATATGTACAAAAACGTAATCAAGCATTAGTGAAAAGTTTCGACCAGTTAAAAACCACAAATTAAATTTATTACCAAGAAATCAACTAATGTGTAAACGCAAAAACGGCAAAATCAATAAATAAAAAATGGATTAAACTAAGCCTAAATTTAGTTTTAAACATTTAACATATTGCAACAATAAACCGAAATGAAAATAAAACTAAAATTCAAACTTGAGATTCAAGTGTTTGTGATGGGGCTCCTCGAACTCAGTATATTATATTTTATATTTACTTAAAGTACATAGTAGTACATGTAAGTAAAAAATTATTTTTACATAGACATTTGACATTACGTAGAATGTCAAGTATATCGATGTAAACTAGTGCTCGCTGCTTTACGTTCTTAACCGCAGTACCACGCGTGCGCAGCGCCAAAAGACAAACAACGCGAACTAGAGAGGGGGAGCCAAGTGGGGCGCGGGAAAGGAAGCTGGGGGGAGGAACCCTTTACCGTGGCGGAAAGCACACAAGCACCGTCCGGCAGTTCGTCCGCCGATCCACACGACACAGCGCTGATTGCCGCCGCCTGGCGAGCGAGGTTGTAGGAGCTCGACTGAGGTTAACCGAAAGCCAGGCCCAGAGAGCGGTACAGAGAGCGGCGGAGGCTGTGGCGGCACGGCAGCTACTTGGCGTTTTCGATTGTGGTACATGCACAACTATTTTACGTATGCCACACGGAGAAAAAAAACATTATTTTCGTAATGCTAACGAATTTGAGTAAATACTTTCGGGTTGTTGTTTAATTATTTGTTCAAATGTAAAAAAATTTTTAGATTTTTTCTTTTTTTTTTGTATAGTAAGTGCTTGCTTATACTATAAAGTGCTAGATTTGATCAAAGTTTATGATTAAGAAATCTTTCAACGAATCAGAGTCGAACTATGAAAATAATCCAAGCTGCCTATCATTGAAAGTGCACCACTGCATCCAGTATTTTTTTACAGTGAATTCTCTCGGCATGCGATGATGGTGATCTCGGTCTTTCTCTCCACCTCTCTCCCACCGCTGTGTGTGTTTGTTTCTCTACCTGATGCCCGATTGCACTACCACTTTCACGCGGTTTACAAGCCGAATGACAACAACAAAAACAGAACAACAAGGCGGCGAGTTCGAAAACGAAGTAGAGTGAACCCAGCAGCGAATTCGAATTTTCGATGATGAATGCAATGCCACAGCGCAGAAATGAACGCAAAGTCGGGACATACGAAAAGCAGGAGCGGTTTACCCCTGTCGAGGGTGGCTCTCTTTCTTGCCCTCTCTCTTTCTTCTTTGATGTGCCATCTCCCTTCGTCGCAAGTGCATGCCGAAGTGGTAGGTTCGTTGCCTAAGTCTTTTGTACCTGCCTGCGTTTCGGCCTCTGCAGGTGCACCCACACACACACACAGATGGAGGCACTGGGCTACCTGTGTTTAAGTCCGCACTTGTATGGGTGTTCGGGAGTGTAGAGACAACATCATCGATTCGAATGAATTTTAGTGGCGCTGCGCTGCCGGCGTCGCTGCCGCGTTCGCTCAATATCAGTTACGAAAGAGATGAAACCATAAAAAGCAATAATAATCGAGCGCTCTCTCGCCAGCGCCGCGCACACGGACAGCACCTTGCCACCAATACAGCCGCACGTCGACGTCAGCAGAGGTGGCAGCAGCGCTAGCAGCGGCGGCAGCAGCACATTCAGCAGTTGAACAATCTCCAATTGACTCTTTGGGCATTATAGCCAAGAGCCGAGATCCAGCGACAGCGACGACAAGTTTTCCGCGCACACGGAAAGTCAGCAAGTTAATACACCGAAAATATATAGTTTCAAATCCGACTAATCGCTTCAAACGGAAATTCCATGTGAGTGCGCGTGTGTGTCGCGATATTTGCGAAAAATCCAAAAGTTTCTAAGCCAAACAAACAGCAAAAAGTCGCGCTTAAACTTTTTCGAAATTAAATAAAACACACACACGAATTTCAGCCACGAAGAGGAAGAGAAGGCTGAAAAAGCGAAAAAACCTCGTGTGTGTGTGTGTGTGTTTGTGTGCGAGAGTATCTGTGTGTGTGTGTACGTGTGCATGTCTCTCGGAGAGCGTGAGCTTAAAGTGTGCCTGTGTGTGTGCTTGCGAGCTGGAATGAGACGCCATCAAAGCTGAGCAGCGAATAATAAAATGCAAAATAAAAATAGTGATTAATAACAGCAGCCAGAACCAGCAGCAACAACAAATGCTAGTGCGGAAAGCGCGTACAAAATAGTGAAAATACTCAAAAACAACAAATTGGTTGGAAAACGCAAATGCCAGGCGAAACGCCCCCGCACCGACCCGCCCCCTCAACATTTGCGCCCTTCAGTGTTCAGCAGCAGCAACAGCAGCAACAACAGCAAATACCAGCAACATGAGCAGCAGCAACATCAAATGTTAGGCCAAAATGCACAAACCGCCAGCAACAAAGGCAGCACCAATCAAACGAAACAACAACAGCTCCACATACCACAAAGAGTGGCATATTAGAAGCGGCCAAAAGCAGCCAGCCGAGAGCATTGTGTAAGCCAAAGGCCCAGAGAGCCAGGCTAAAAGCCCCCAGACGCACAACAACAACAACAACTAAAACAGCACAAAGAGTGGCGAAAGGTGCACCCACCAGCAAAACAGCAACAACGGAGCAACCAACAACAGCAACAGCAACAGAGCAGCCACAGCAGCCACATTTCAGTTCCAGCTCCAGCTCCAACTCCCAGGTTGCAGACTCCCCAAGCAAACAGACTCCAGCCCACGATCCAGCTCCAGTTCCAGCGATCCAGCGATCCACTGTTTCAGCGAGCTCGAGTGCCATAGATCCTCACCAAGTGCCAAAATCCGCATCCTGATCCCAAGAGCTCAAGGCACCCCGGCCCAAAAGTGAGTAGTACTTAGCCTACCAAGAAGTAATTATAAACGCATCAGGCTCTGTAGCCCTGGACGGTTCATGGAGGGATTACACCGGCAGAAATAGCACCTATTGACCATTTGCTTTCCGGCTTATAGATCCCTTTTTTCGGGAGATTCCATCACAATAGCTGGTATTCCCAATAAAGAGAGCAATAAAAGCGGGTATTTTGGGCACACTAAACGAGTCTACTTCCCAATAAAAACCTTTACAATGCTTTATTTAAAGTGTAATATGCTTGTTATTATCAATGTGCGATAAGGTATTTTTTTAAATCTATTACTATTTTCCACTTTACATTTACATTTGAACTATCCAAAGTACATTAGCTTACACCTTATATAGACGGATAGTACTGTAGATATCCAAAAGTCAAGTTGTTTTGGTGGTGCTAATATATCAAACTTGGAAAAGATGGTTATTATCGAAATGGTATTTTTCAACGATTGCGATGTGGTGACGTTTATTTGTTATTTGTTTGAAATCTGCAGTCTAATATAAATATCATTTAAACAATTTTAAACTTTTAAAACTGCTAATGCTAAATTCTAATTGAATAATCATGTCCAAAATATGATTTATAATCATCATACAGCTAGCGAACTTAAATACCACACGAATTGAAACTAATCCATTTCACTACCCTGCTGGCCAGTGTTGCTTTTGAAAGCCTTCGTCCACAGTGGACACCCTGTATGTTGTGCAGACGTAGCCTAAGTCTCTTGGTCCCAGCCTCAACCCGTGTTGTTGTTGTCATTGTTGCTGTTGCCGTTGTGTTGTTGCTGGTATCTTTCGCGCACACATTCCTCTTTGTTTGGTTTTATTTTGTATTTCGTATTTCGAAGTGGCCGCTGCGCTGCGCAGCGGCAGCGGCAGGTAAGTCGCACAGGTATTGGTGTTGCTGTTATATTGCCGTTGTGCTGTGCTGCCAACAATGCCTTGCTAGAGCGGGAGAGTTGGCCATAAAGAGCGGGAGCGAGAAGGGATCAAGACGCCTCTGTCTCGGCCTCTGCCGCCAACGCTGCCGCTGCCGCCGTCGACGTCGACTGCGCCGCCTTCTTGTTCGAAAATCGATGATGTTGCCCAGTGTTTGTGATTACGTTTCTTCCCTGGACTTTTGTGCTGCCTTTTGCCTCTTATGTTCTCGGCTTCTTTTTATTATGATTTTTATTTTCTTTTTTTTTTGTATTTTTTTTTTTGATTTTTCCCTTCTTGATGATGGTGATCAATTTGGGGCTGCGATTATGGTACAGTAAAATGAACATCTACGCAGCACTCACACCGCCAGACACACAGATACATTCATCCGTGAGATACACACGCACACAGCGAACAGGCACATGTAACCCACACACAAAAAAGGGGGAACTTCGTGAGAGAGTTATTTTATTTTCGTGTTCGTGTTAACGTTTATTGTTTTTCTTTTCTTTAGCCTTTCTTCGTTTCTTCGGGCCTTCTTGACTCCGTCTTGCAGCCGTTCCCCTTCCCCCGCCCGCTCACCACCCCTGCCCTAACCATGCACGCCTTTATTCCCCTGAACATTCCCAAATGCACGGGGAGAAATACGTGGATCTATAGTTGGAACTTTTATAAGCAACTTTTCTCATGTTGTTACCTTATACCTAAATTTAAAATTAAAATAATTCCAATGAATACATTTATCATAAGAATAGTCGAACCCACAACGGATTTGTCTAACGACAAGTACAATAATTATGGTAAAACTATAGAATCGATACGGAATTTTTAGCCGTGTACCATCTACCAACTCCCCAGTCTCAGTCTTTGGTTATTGATGCCCAACAACTCTGACCGTTGATGTCTTAGGGTTACGCTGCGCATTTCTTCTCTTGTCTTTTCCCCACCTCTCCCGTCAACCCCTCTCCACTCCTCATCATTCCCTCGAAGTAAGGTAAAGATACGTAAAATCCAAATTTCAAATTATGTCAAATCTTAATGGGATTTGAAATGGAATTGCTTTCGGTATTCACTGTGTATCTGGAATCGGTGGTATTGGGGGGAAAGGTGATCGTGGCTTGGGGGATAATAAAGAACACATGCCCATAGATCTCGTTGTAGGCGTTCTCTGTATGCAAAGGTTAGATCGCGGGCTTATTTTCACATGTGGTGACTCCAGTCGATATAATCGAAGAAAATTAGTAATGATTGTTTTGGGAGAAGGTTGATTTACTCTTATGAATAGTGCGCATACCTGCATAGACCCCAGGAAGCCAACTTATGTAGGTAGATCTATTAGACTAGATTTATTTGCTTCGACACTTCTATTGCAATGTGGCAATACAGCGCCCAAGGAAAACCGACTGTTAATTTAAATTTATCAAGGTTCGATAGTTATAAATATGTAAATTGCTTTCGCCGCGAAAGATTTCCTTATGGTGATCCAGTATTGGCGTAAATCTGTCTATGCTTTGTTGAAAAAATGTTGCGTTCAAGCTTAAACGTGATTTACTGTTTATTGTTAAGCCAATCAATAACAGTAATTGCTCATTAATTACCTTGTACAACACTTCGACGCTTGTGTTTGAGATTGAATATATTTAAGTCTCGCACAGTAATAAGTAATATTAAATAATTTTCTTGGTAATACTTGTGGGAGTGTTAGAATGGAAGAGCTTATAAAAAAAATCATACTAAAAATATATCTTGGTCAAAGTCATTAGCTAATTTAGTTCTTTGTTTGTTACACTTCAAATGGCTCTTATAATTTTTGTGGCGCCCTCAGGTGGACAGTTTAATAGGAATATTTTCTTTGAGAAAGTTTCTTTGCTGCCAAAAATCTATTTGTGAGATTAATTTGGATTATCTTCTCCACACTGCTTCCCTTTTCTGGGCATTATCTAAGCCAGCAGCGACTTTTCTTGTTGCTGATTTCTTTCGCACCCACCGCATGAGTGATGGGTCTTGCCCAGAATCCATCTATCTGTGGTTGGAGGTGCCAGCTTCATTGCCATTCTCCGATCACCGATCTCCGCCATTCAAGCGGCAAGTTGGAAAGTTTTACTCCGTCCGTACACACATACGTTGCCCCGAGGGTCTTCGGTTGGCTGGTAATACATCTGACCCAGTTCGATGGATGCGATGGGATCACTGGCGAGCCGGGGTGTTGATGTTGGTTTAATTGTTTCCTAATTGCCTTTCCACAGCGACTTTCCTCGGGCAATCGATTCTGATTGTTTGTGCCAAAAACTAGTCTATAACCAGCATGACACTGACCTCACCTACTAACGGAATACCCACAGACCGGGTCCGAGGAGCCCGTCGAGATCGTCGTGAACTCGCCGGCATGGGCTGACAGACACAAAAAAAAAAAAAAAAGAAAAAAAAAACGGGTTTATCCACATCCACATCCCAGCAGTGAACTCTGCGGCGGCGGCACCAGTAATTTTTGGCTTTATCATCAAACAACAATATGGGGGGTTAGGGGAACTGGACGTGGAACTGAACCTGGGCCTGGGCCTGGACCTGAATCTGAATCTGAACCTGGACCTGAACCTGGACCGAACGCTGTGGCTGTTTTCCGAGGCTGTTGCTGCGGCAAGGCGTGGAACCAGAAAGTCAGCCTTCTGGATTAGGTCAAGGATTGAGACGCCGCTGCTACCGGTGTGTATGGTTTTGGTGTGTGCCGCACACTGGAGAGTAGTACCTGTTCTCAACTTGTTGTCGATGTTGTTTTGTTTGGTTTCGGTTCGGTTCAGTTCAGTTCAGTTCAGTTCAGCTTAGTTTCAGTTTCGGTTTCGGTTTCAAAATCCCTCATAAACATGTTTTGCTAACTCGCAGATTCTGGACTATTAACAGCTGATGGACTGACTGGTTTTTTGAGCCGTGCAGCGTTATAGTGTACTCTGTGTTTAATTTCACACAAAGCCCCGTTGTAAACAAAACACAAATATGGCTGAGAAGTTGGCTTCTCGGTTGGCGTCGACAGCACGACGTCGGCAGCGACGCTTCTTCCACCTGTTTGGCTGTTTTGTTGTATTGTTGTTTTGTTGCTCTGTTGTTTTGTTGTTTTGCTGATGTGATGAACCGCACTGAGTTATGCAGTTACACGTTTGACATTTGCGAAGGAGTCAAACTAGTTCGACGGCCACGTGTGTGCCAGCGAACTGGGCTTATTTATTTTTTTCCGTTTTCCGATTTTTGTGTTTGCCCCTTTTTGTTTGTTTGTTTGTTTGTTGGCTGGTCGCCTGTTTTGTGTGCTTGCAAATCGCTCGTCGTTTGAACCCGTTCCGCTCGCTCTTCCGTTTATGTGTGCCTTCTCTTTCCTTTCTTTCCCCTCATTTTCAATGGGGGGTGTGTGACTGCATCGCCAGTGGGGCGACGAGGGGGTGGGTGTAGGGGGCGCCAAGCAGACTGCCGCCAGACACTGCCACTTATATTGTTGCTTCAGCGGCCTCATCGTTAATTGAGTGTGGTGGCGGTGGCGGGGGCGGGGGCAATGTTGTTGCTGTAGGGCTGTTATTGCCAAATGGGAAACACCTTATAGCATAGTCTATGACTCACAGTGTAGCAGTGATGTGTGATGACTAGCCTGCAAGTATTTTAATTATTTCTAGCAAAACTATAAAATGAAAATCGGTTTTCCAGCTTGTTAGTAAGGCATTAAAACAGCAACAATGTTTTAAAGACTTGAAACGATGCAGCAAATATTCAAGTTTCAGCCCTGTTATAGAATATTTCGTACAAAATTGGAATTCACAAATTTTGTGTGATTCAACTGGAAATGACTTCCCTTCAAAAGGAAACTCATAATGGTATATTGCATTGATAGCAGTACTCACATAGTTACAATGAAATATAGACAAAATCTATATCTTGCTCAACTTTAATACTAATTATGACCATTGTTGTTTGCCCCATTGCAGCTGAGCTGAGAACGAACGAAACGAAGGAAGTTCCTTAGTGCCATAGAAAGCAGTAAATGAAACAACGACTAAGCGGAAGATCGACCATCCGGAAGCGGAGCTAAATTCGAACGAAAGAAACCACAAAGTGCCTTCCATCAATCCGTTGATAAGTGATATTTATTATGTTTATACTTGCCAGCAGCCGAGGCAGCAACAGCAACAGCAATAGCAACAACCACAGGGGATCACGGCATCGATGATCAGTCCACGACCAAGTCCTAGTGCAATCCGGAATCCAGTTCAAATTAGTTCAGTAAGCCGTATCTACCACGTATAATGTCCACATCCACCGCCACAACGAGCGTTATCACGTCCAACGAGCTCTCGCTGTCCGGCCACGCCCACGGTCACGCCCACGGTCACGGGCACGCCCACCAGCTGCACCAGCACACCCACAGCCGCCTAGGAGTTGGCGTTGGTGTGGGCATCCTCAGCGACGCATCCCTATCGCCCATCCAACAAGGCAGTGGCGGCGGCGGCAGCGGAGGAGGCAACACGAACAGTTCACCACTGGCGCCCAACGGAGTGCCACTTCTCACGACAATGCACCGATCACCGGACTCACCGCAGCCAGAATTGGCCACCATGACGAACGTCAATGTGCTGGATCTGCACACGGATAACTCCAAGCTGTACGACAAGGAGGCCGTCTTTATCTACGAGACGCCCAAGGTGGTGATGCCGGCGGACGGAGGGGGTGGCAACAATTCCGATGAAGGTCATGCCATCGATGCGCGGATTGCGGCCCAAATGGGCAACCAAGCCCAACAGCAGCAGCAGCAGCAACAGCAGACGGAGCACCAGCCGCTGGCCAAGATCGAGTTCGATGAGAACCAGATAATCCGGGTCGTGGGACCAAATGGCGAGCAGCAGCAAATCATCTCGCGGGAGATCATCAACGGGGAGCATCATATCCTGTCGCGAAACGAGGCTGGTGAGCACATTCTCACCCGGATCGTCAGTGATCCCTCCAAGCTGATGCCCAATGACAATGCGGTGGCCACGGCCATGTACAACCAGGCCCAGAAGATGAACAATGATCACGGACAGGCGGTGTACCAGACGTCACCATTGCCGCTGGACGCCTCCGTTTTGCATTATAGTAGCGGCAATGATGCGAATGTGATCAAGACGGAGGCCGATATCTACGAGGATCACAAGAAGCATGCGGCTGCAGCAGCAGCTGCTGCCGGCGGAGGATCCATCATCTACACCACCTCCGATCCGAACGGAGTGAATGTGAAACAACTGCCCCATCTGACGGTGCCACAAAAACTAGATCCCGACCTCTATCAAGCCGATAAGCATATAGACTTGATCTACAACGATGGCAGCAAGACGGTGATTTACTCCACCACGGATCAGAAGGGTTTGGAAATTTACTCGGGCGGCGACATCGGCAGTCTGGTGTCCGACGGCCAAGTGGTGGTCCAGGCCGGACTTCCGTATGCCACCACCACCGGAGCCGGCGGCCAGCCCGTCTACATCGTGGCCGACGGTGCCTTGCCAGCGGGAGTCGAGGAGCATCTGCAGAGGTGAGTAATTGCCCACAAGGGGCGTTTAGCTTAATGAGGGGTAGCTGTGGGCAAGGGTTGGTCCACTGCCAAGTGGTTTGTTATTGTGCTCGAATTCCAGAGCGCTGTGCCCCTTAATTAGTGGCACAATCGAAGCTTGAAAGGGTCCGAAGTTTGGATACAAAGAGTCCTTATGTGCAGGGTGTGCTACCTTACAATTATAGAATTTGCTGTTCGCTATATTGGAAATTCCACATGTGCATTAGGAACTTATATATCCTTAATAAGGTTCTGTGGATACGTATAAAAATCTGTACAATTTACCATGCTGACAACCTAATATACATAAGTTTTTTCGTAAGTTTAGAATAGTTATTAAATATTCAGTGGAAGCACGTCGTCTGACCATTATACCATATCATAAGAGAACGTAGCCTTCAAAATTAGTCAAAGGTGTCTCGAAAATATTTTCTCAGATCGTATATCTAATGTCGAGCCTATGTTCCGGTTAATATCCTTAACCCACGGTCCAGCCCACTCAACTATTCATTGAGCGCTGTTCTATCGGCAACATAAATCTCGACTAATTGCCTTCGTCATGGCGGTCAGTTGCAGCTGAAGTTTGAGTTGCAGCGGCTGCTGCTGCTGTTGCTGCCGCTGCGGTTGGTTACCACATCAACATCTTAATTGGGGACAGCAGAGTTTTAGTTTGGATTCGGTTTGAGTCCCCCTCTGCAGTCGTGGTCCTTTCAAATCAATGTTTGTCATTTGCATTTCTCATGCATTTGAATTAACCGCTCTTGCCGCGCGCATTTTACTGTTAATTATTGCGATAGGCCAACCGGCAACGGCTGCAACATTGCTGCCGCAACAGCAACAGCAACATCACTGTCGCACCAGCAGCAGCAGCAGCAGCAACGCCAGCGCATTCTGGCTATACCCCTTCCACTACCCAAACATTGAGTTCAGGCTGGTGTCCTCATCCATGCCCATTCCCCAATCCCCAAGCTCCAGCTCCAAACTCTATGCTCGGTGCTCCATGCACCATCCTCCATTCCCCCAGTGGAATGACAGCTTCCGTTGTAACTGTTTCTTCCATACGTTATTGCTGCCCCTGCAACAGCAACAACAGCAACTTTGGCATTCTGGCGTGCATCGAATGTGCAAGTAGGCGAGCTAATAACACCCAGATCCAGCACCATGCTCCACGGAAACCCCCATCGCCGTCTCCAACTGCAACTCCAACTCCAGCCACATCCCCAAACCGAGCCGCATCCTTCTCCTCCTCCACCTCGTCCGCCAGCGATCCGCTTGGCAATTCATTTTAGAGCAGTCGACGTCGAGCGGTGGTATGCGCGGGTAATAAAAATTTGAATATAAATTAATCTAATAGAGAACCGTTAGCGAGGTGAGATGCAAGCGCAGCCTCCTTGAGCAAGGTGCCGCCTCGGAGCTTGGCAACTAAGTCATCGTCATCTGCATGGATCGCCGGATCGTTGGCCACTCGGACATCTGCAACGCCATCGCCATCGCCATCGCCATCGCATCTGCATCTGCAGCCGCATCGGGCTACTCCTCCTCAGCCTCCTCCTAAATTCTTACACGGAGAGAAAATAGAGGTACAGGAGTACAGTTCGAAAACAAGCAACTAAGCCGCTGAAGAAATATTTGTAGAAACAACCATTCCATACGAGTAGTCTTTATCAATCAATTTTAGATAGCTTTGATAAAGGGGGAACATAAGTAACAGGATTTAGAAAAGTAAAGTAAAGGACTATTTTCAATTCAAGTTATTTAAAATGTGCAGGACATATAGAACAAACAACATTTTATACATTTATACAACATTTTTGAAACGAAATGGCAGCCAAGAATTTGATTTTGGCATGCTGCCATTGCAGTGCATTCTTCTAATGCCAATGTCCCATCCTGTTATAGCGGAGGATGCTGCAGCAACAGCGGCGGTCGCAGCAGCTAAGGCAGGCAGCAGCATCTGCAACAGCAACAGCAACATCAACGGACACAGCAACAACATGGCTGGTTCGTTTGGCCGGCGTGCATGTTGCATGTGCGGCAAGGTCCATAAATAACGACAAAATTGCGTTTCCGCATATGGACCGAGCAAACGTCGTCTTCGATTCGGACTTTGCCTGGATTTGGCCAGGCTTTTTCTCAAACGGCCACCGAGAGGCTGTGGCAGCGACTGTGGCAGCGACTGTGGCAGCGACTTTGGCATCCCGTCGAAGAAGCTGCTGGCTGGACCTTGCGTGTTGCTCTTGGCTGTGGCCTCGCACTCTCGGTCTTCTGGCCTCGCTGGCTTGATGTACAGTTTGTTTTGTTTGCTGGCCCCCATGATAAGCAGCTGAGGACATGTCCATTTCCACATCCACATCCACGCTGAGTGTCTGCATCCCAAAAGTGTTCGCCTTGCCACGTTTTCATTAAAGTCGAATTAAAGCGGCGACAGAGACAGATCGGCCTGGGAATGGCAGTCTGTACATATACATTATACATATCCATATATAAGCCCAGTTGACCTTTGTTTCGAGCCATCCTTTCCATTGTGTCTGTCTGTCTGTCTGTCTGTCACCGCATAACATGTCCCTTGCAGCGTCTTAATTTACACTGTGCTACAGAGTTTTTGGCGCACCAGGATATAGGGATACACCCCAACACTTGAGCTTCTAGGCTTAAATTAGTTAGCTTTATCAGAAGTTTTGAGTACAAATCAAATATTTTTCAAAACTACACTCATCAACAGGGATCTCGAAACTGAAGCTTAAAGCTCCATCGAACAAATACCCCAGCAAAAGCTCCACGAATTGCATTTGCAAATTGCAGCCTCGGGCAGCAGAGTGGCTTATAAAGTTTTTACGATTCGCCGAATTAGCCATATTATTCGGTTGAGCAGAGTGCAAAGCAATGTACAATATACGATTTTATTATTCTTGCCATTTGGCAATAAAATTGTTTTATTGTTTATGCATTTTTCATTACTTACTGCACGAAGCCTTATACAACCGCGCCCAAAGCGGCATAAATACGTATAATTTCTTTAATTGCCAATTCAAGTGTTTTCTTCAATGCAAAACACAGAAATCTCTGACTATATCGACATAAATTCAGAAAATACTAATAGATGCCACGGATTTCATTAAAGTTGAATTGTCTTCAAAATTTAGGTACGGTTTGATTGAATTTATAGGCAGCTTAAAAAACGGTATTTTCTTTCATTTTTATATTTAGTAAAAACCGTATTGCCATTACGTATTGTTATTATTAGTATGTTGAACAACAGCAGATGTCTAATCCATAAAATATCACAAAATTGATAAGACAGCATTTGCATTTCCTTTCTCATACAAATTACCCTTTGACATTTAATAAAGTTATAAAAATAGAATCTGCTATGTAAATTGGAAATCAAATTTGTATTCAAGCGAAGCTTATGGTTCAATAATATTTGATGGCCGTGAAATAAATTAATAATAATACGTTTCGTTCCGTATTTAAACTTTGACATTTGCATACCTCAAAAGTTCCCCTAACCCATTTATGTGGATCTTGAATGGAACTGAAACTAACTTAAGCTCATTCCGCACCTCAGTTTTGCAGCTCAGTGCAGGGACTTTTTCCTCATTGAAATGCGGAAACCCCACAAATTGTGCGAAATGAATGCAGTTTGTGAAATTTCCATACACAAGGATAACCTTCGGGTTTTAGCCTTCTGATCGCAGTGTTCGCGGTCAATGCGCATGTCACACGCACTCACACTCTCGTCTGGATACACATACATACACATGTGTATACCCACTCCCTGTATATATCTTATATAGCTCTGCTTACTTTCACTTTAGCCGATCATATTAAGTTTCTGAGCTGTAAAACACATTTTATCTCGTTTTTTTCGGTTTTTCCCCCTCTTGATTCAACAATTTTTTCGCTACTCCTTTGGTTTATTTTAAGTTTTCATTTCATTTGCCGTACAGTGCGTTTCGGCGGCATAGCGACACTTTTAGTGTCTCTTATCTTGCAGATAGAACGCGACTGTCACTGACGCTCAATTCACGTGCCCCCCTCGCCAAATCTCTGCTGCTCCCCATGCTAACCCCTTGATTGACAATATTTCAATATTTTTACTGTTGTCGCCATTTCACAGCATCTGAAAGCGAGGGGGTTTTGCAGAGGGTGGCGGAGGGGAGAGGAGTGAAGGGAGGGACGGCGACACAAGCCCCAAGTCACTGTCACGCAGGCGCTTGCAAATGGAGCACTTAAATACCCTATCTGGTACGCAGGATATATCAATAAAGTCGACAGTCTCGTCATGAGTCAATTTAAAATTAGTGGTACATTTTGATAATCTCTATGTAATTCCAAAGAAAAATGCATTTAAAACTATAACTTTGATAAATTTATTAAAATTAATCAACAGTTAAATCTTAATCTTGATTTAAGTGACATATAAAAATTGATCTGTCGAAGCAATACATGTTACAAGTGTTAATCTGAAGTCAATCAAAGAGCATTCCCAAGTCGTTGGGTTAATCAAGTTGATTTTCCCAGTTGTTGTTAGTGGCTTTTTGTTTCTTGCTTCTCATTTTATTATTATTAATATTAAAAGGTGCAACAGCGTTTGGACATTTTGATACAAAAACAAACCTGTTCACCTGCGCAGTCTACCTGCAGCACCAACAACAACAGCAACAGCGACTGCAAGAGTGAGATGGCGACAGAGAGAAGGAAAGAGAGAGCCAAACGATGGCGAGAGAGAGAGGTAGATGGGGACAACGTTGAGGAGACAAGAAAGAAACATGTTAACACAATTCAGCGTCTCGTACGCTTTCGACTGTTCCCTGTTGTTCTTGTATTTGGTATGGTGTTGTTTCTGTTGCTGTTTGTGTTGTTGCTGTTGTTGTTCTTATTTTGTTGTCATTTTGTTGCTGTTAAATTTGTTGTTATTTTAGTCTCTCGCTCCACTCCAAAACTCTGAATTGGCGCTACAAGTTTATCGAACGCTCAAA